GAATGTTATGTGTGTAGTAGCAGTTTACATTTGGCTAAGGATTGCCCGAACAGGCGAAATAAATTTGAGAGGTCCAATAAACAGAACAGAACGATAATTTTCCCGGTCAAAAACCGAAAGTTAACACTTTCAAGTAAACCGAAGGACAATGCGGTTGTTACAAATGTAAATTCTAAACATTTACAAAAACCCGAGTGTTCTGACCGACGGAAAACTTAATTTTTATTCCTTGGAAAAGATTACTATTTATACATTGCAGGGAAGCAAGTAGAAGCTATAAAAGATTCAGGTACGGAAATACCAATACGGAATTTTGAACACTACATTAATTCCTGATTTAAAAATAGAAAGTAAGGGTAAAAATCATTTTAAGTTTTCTGCATTTGGCGACATCATAGAGGCAACGTTAGCAACTATTCCCATTTATTACAAAAAAAAAACCAAATAGTTGTCTATATTCGCGCGTTGAAGCTCTTTTCGCGTTGACAGATAAGCTCAATGTTCCAATGTTTAATTACACCAGATGTATGGGATCGCAATATTTGAAGACGAGAATGAATCAACAGTCTTCCCTGAAGACGAAACCGGAAACTCATGAACAAAAACAAACTTGAGGTTGGCGCCGTTGAACTGTCAAATGTAAATCTTTTTTATAGCTCAGTTGCGAATCAGAATGATGAAAGACTAAACAGTTATTCGGAATCGAATAAATTTAAGGTCGATCAGAGAAACTGCCAAACATTAATAAATTCTTTTAAGGACGCAGAAGTAGGGAAGAATAATTTCTTTTTACAGGACGAATTATTATTTCATAAAGAAAAAATTTGTGGGGAAAAAATACAACAGTTAGTTTTGCCCGAGAATTATCGAAATAAAGTCCTTCAATATTAGCTCATGATTCCATATTCGGAAATCATTTAGGTATGAGGAAAACTAAAGAAAGAATTAAGCTTTCATTTTATTGGCCGAACATATCCAAAGATGTAGAAAATTATTGTAGAACATGCGAAAGATGTCAATTAAAAAGCCCAGAAAGACAATCGGATAAAATTCCGATTACTCCTATTGCTCGCGCGCCATATCCCTTTCATACAGTAAATATAGATATTATTGGTGAAATTTCACCTCCTTCAGGAAGGAAACATAAATATTGTTTGTGTTTGATAGATAATCATTCAAAATGGCCAGAAGTCATACCTTTAAAAAGTCTTTCTGCTAAAGCTACTTGTGAGGCTCTTTTAGATATTTTTATGAGAACCGGTATTCCAGAAATAATTTGTAGCGATCAAGGCACTAATTTTACCTCACAATTAACTCAAGAATTCGAAAAAAGGTTAGGAACTCATCCTCGTTTTTCGACACCTGGTTATCCAGCATCAAACGGCTCAGTGGAAAAACGGAATTGGGTATTTAAACAAATGTTACATCATGTAATTCGCACAGATCCTGTTAATTGGGACAAGCACATACCTTATTTACTTTTTGCGTATCGTGAAGTTCCAAATTGCACTACCGGTGTCTCTCCATTTATGCTTATGTACGGTCGTGAAGCTAGAGGTCCCTTAGCTGTGTTAAAATCATCATGGTCCGGTGAAATACCATTACCTCTTAATCTGAGTAATTCAGCAGTTGATTATCTACAAGAATTAAAGATAAATTTAGAGAAAGCATCTGAGCTCGCTTCTTTTATCTGCCGCGGAAAAACAAGAAGCTTATGCATATTATTTTAACCGTCGCAAAAGTTTGAAAGAATTTAAAAATGGTGATCTAGTATATTTACTTATACCAGACTCTAGCAACAAGCTATATGCTAGGTGGACAGGTCCAGGTGAAATTGTTGAAAGAGTAAATCCTCATTCTTACAAAGTTAAATTACCCGATGGGAGTGTGAGGCAAGTTCATGTGAACAAAATAAGAAAATTTTATGTTCGAGCACAAACTGTGGGAGTGATATTTGAAGATGATTCTGAGTTTGGGGAAATTCACATACCACTCCAAATAAAGGAGATTGCGCAGTAACTAGAAGGAACATCGAGGTGGATATTAGTCATTTAGAGGATAGCAACAAAAGGAATTACACGAGCTCTTACTCAAGCACATCGCGTTATTTTCTGGGGAGATCCAAATAGCCAGAGTTGGTGAACATAGAATTCGGTTGTTACCTGGAGCTGAAAGAAAAAAGCCATACATCTATAAGATCCCAGAATCTTTGAAACCTGAAGTAGATAAACAGATCGAGGAATTGGAGAGCTTGGGTCTTATTGAGCCAAGTGAAGCTGAAATAGATATCCCAGTCGTATGTGTTGCCAAGAAAGACGGAAGTATGCATTTATGTATTGATTTCAGGTTGTTGAATCAAGTAACCAAGCCTGTTGATTTTCCAATGGAGAATGTGACTGATCTAATTAATAAAATTGGACACGCGAATGTTATCACCTGTTTAGATGTTTTGAAAGGTTACTGGGAAATACCTTTGGAAGAAGAAAGTCGTGATTTAACATCATTCAAGACACATCGTTCCAAAGTATCATTGGAAAATGATGCCTTTTGGATTAAAAAATGCAGCTTCTACTTTTCAGTGAGTGATGAATGATGCCTTAAGAAAACATAGTGATTTTTGCAAAGCCTATATTGATGATATTGCTTATCTTCTTCACCAGATTGGAATTTCGCATCTCAAACATTTAGATGCTGTGCTAACTACATTAAGTGATCTCAGGATTTATGGTGAACATGTAAAGAAATGTGTTTTTGCACGTTCAGAGATAAAGTATTTAAGGACATATAATAGGAGCTGGAAGACATCAACCTGATCCTGAAAAATTACAAGCCTATTGAAATTATAGAAAGTCCTAAAACAAAGACTGCTCTAAAGAGTGCATTAGGCTTTATTCAACTATTATCGTGATTACATTTAAAGAATTATGCAGAAATAGCTCGCTCATTGACTGGAGCTTACGAAAAATAAAATTTCCTGAGATAATTCCATGGACTGATGTTGAGGAATCAGTATTTCAAGAACTGAAACATTCGACTGTGTGAAGCACTAAAACTTGTACACTCCAGCCTCCCTCTTGAAGCCAAAAGCTCGTAAGCCAAAAAACTTACACCACACAGTGTGATGCTAGTTCCATATGGTGTTGGTGCTTGCTTATCACAACGAGATACTAAAGGCAAGTTTGCATCCTATCAGCTTTGCCAGTCAAAAACTTTCGAAAAACTCAGCAGAACTGGTCAACTATTGAACGCAAGGCTTATGCCGTTGTGTGGTCCATTAAAAAAGTTTCGAGTGTTGGGTGTTTGGATCGAATATCGAGCTGATCACAGACCATAATCCATTATTATATTTGTATAAGTCGGCACCGCATTCAGCCAAATTACAAGAGATGGGTCAATGGCACTTCAGCATTACATAATATTCATATTTCTCATTGCCCTGGTGCACAAGTTAAAAAATGCAGATGGTCTTTCAAGACTAGTTGGTGAATGAAATAGGTGTGAACTAAGTATGAACTAATATGTTTAAAACTTTGCATTAGTTATTACTTTCTTTTGTTTCCGGAATTGTAACGAGAGCTACTTTCCATCTGTTTTGAAAATCAAATTACTGGTTTCCATTTAATATTGCATTATAATAGTGTGTTTTGAAATAGTATTGCATATATGTTTTATTACAGAACTCCGGTATTGTATCAAGCCATCTGTTCATCTGTTGTGAGATGAATGTTTATTGCATTTATTTCAAAGTATGTTATTACATCATGTATACATGTTCATATATTTTGAATTAATTTGGTATGTGGAGTATACAATTTAAGTTTGTATTTGCTGGTTCAGTTTTCAGATTCTGCTTCGCTTTGGCGTAGCACAATCTTACCGGGGGGGGGGGGGGTGTCATGTATCTGGCAGCGGTGAGCCAATCAGCTGCCTGGCAGAGCCCAGCAAGTGAGAGAGAAGAGAGTTGCATGTTAGCCTCAGAGGAGGCAGGTGATAGATTAATTATGTTGTAGGAGCGAGGTAGTGCTCCGAGTTTGCCTTTATTCTTTAAATGTTATTTTTTTTTTTTTTTCATTATTCTTTGAAAGTTAATTTTTAATAAATGTTGGTGTCGTTTTCCTTATGGTGCCTTATCAATCCGTAAGGTCATTACAGCATTCTTAAAATCTTTTGCGAAATTTAGGATATTCTTTACAAAGGTTATTGAACCTTAGTCTGGATAAATACCATGGATAAAATTTTCCTGCAATCTGCATCATGCCAGAAAATTAGATTATTTTTAGACTCAAGTTAAATAAAAGCTAAATTTGTCACTACTCTTTGTTATTCATTTTTAGTGCTTTTATATTATTATGGAGAAAATGTCACAGTAATTATAGCATAATTCCATGGAAGAATCAGAATTACAATATTTATGCTAAATAATTTATCATGTAATTATTAATGTATAGTGAACTTAGAAAAGAATAACTGATAAATTTAATAACTGCATATAATAATAATTATAATTAAAATTGAATATCTCTTTTTTTAAAATTAGGTTTATTATTTACTTTGTTTGTAGATTAAACAATGTTAAATAGTTCTCTTTGTGATTCAACAATCAGTTTTTATGAAATAATCCATTTTTCTTGTCAGACCAGATATAGCAAACCGCCAGTTATAGCGAGCCAAACTTCCAATCCCTTAAAATTCATTACAGCAGGATTTAAACATACATGTATTTCAATTATAATTAACTTTGCATCTCTAAAAAGAAGAAATAGCAAGCAATACATATATTCTTTCCTAAATATTAGATATACAGACAGAAACAGATAGTAGCCAAACTGATTTTAACAATAATTTTACAATCTGTTTATGCAGAATAAATGCAGTGACAAAGCTTTTATAAATAATTATACATGACATGCATTTTGAAACATAAACTTCTTCAGAAGAATGAATATTTAAATCAAAAAATGAAAATTTAAGTATTTTTGAAAAATATATATTATACATACTATTGGGGTGTCAAATATTTGCTTTACATGAAGAATGTTAGTTATGTGCCAAGTGTACTTCGAAAATATTCCTAATGGCAAACTATCTTTTCTGCTGAAAGCTACAACAGTGTTAGGAAGGCGTTTTTTCTTTGAACCAGCTGATATCCTCTGTTGTAAAATATCAAAAAATTTTTGAGGAACGTGAAATACTAAAGGCTCTGGAGAACCTAAAAGATAAATAGGAAGGGAAAAAAAATTAAGAGTACTCAAATAGAATGCCACATATATTTTGCTTATATTAACACAGTTTTCCACCTGGCTCTATGAGCTTACATATTGATAACAGCATTAAAACATAAACATTATTCAATAAAACAAATTTTTACATATCAATAAATAAAATAAAATAAAACACTTAGTAATTCAAATACAGAATGCAAATGGATAATTTTAAAAAAATGGATTTTAATACGATTTTTGATGATCACAAAAGTATTCATTTTTCTTTCAACTAATATATATACATATAATACAGATAAATGTAAGAAAAATAGAGAATATATAAAAGGTTAAATTAGCAATGTAAATTTCCCTTCTCTATTCTAAAAATAGTAGCCTCTCTTTGCACTGTGTCATTTCGAAAAAAATCTGTCATATGATTACGTAATTTTGATGATGTAAATTGGGCTAAAACTCAAGCAGTGACTACCGATTTATTACTCTGGCAAACTTATCAATTTCAACCAAATCAATATCAAAATTTTAGAAGTGTGAGGTCTCGACCTTCTCAATTTCCATACAGGTCTTTTAGTTATCAACAAGCACTGTACCGGCCTTTTCAATATCAGTATAGGCTGCTTAGTTATCAACTAAATCCGGCTTTAAATTATTATAATACAGTGCCTAAAAGTGAAGAAAAAGAAATGATCTTATTTTAAAGTTAATGTCCGAATAGGACAACAAACTGTTCCAGCCATTATCGACACAGGTTCTCACGTAAACATTTTAGCTTATAATATTTTTAAGAGTATTGATAAAAATTTTCAAGAAATCAAAGATAAATACAATAATAAGTTATTTTTTCTATCTAGTCAGATTCATGTAGAAAAAATTATTAAAATATGTAAAATAGGTAAACTCACTAATGATATAATATTTTATGTGGTAACTTCTAATTTGAACTATTTATTACTATCTTCACCTTGTGTTTCATTGTTCAAATTACAATTGAATTTTCATAATTATCAAGTTTATCAGTTTGGAAAACAGGTAAGTAAAAATATTAAATTAGATAATTTATTTCAAAATAATTTTGTATGTAAAAATATAAATACTAAATAACATGGTAAATATTTTGAAAATAGTGAAAATTTTTTATGTAAAAGCGATATTGGTACTAAAAATTCTGGTAATTACTTTGAAAATAGTGAAAATTCTGATGGTAAATTACAAAAATTATTGAATAGTTGTAATTATATATTTGCTAAAAGTAAATATGATGTTGGTTCTATAAAGATTGAACCCCTCCAGAGTTGTATTAACTTCTGAATTACCAATAGCCTACAGACCATATAGAGCATCTCCTAAGCATAATAGTGAAATTAAAAAACAAATAGATGAGTTGTTAAATGCTAGAATCATTAACCCCTTAACTGCCGTGGGCATATATATACGCCTTGCTCAGCAGATGTGTTAACTGCCATGAGCGTATACATACGCTCTTCCAAAATACTATCATTTGCTTTGCACTGCTACCCGTAAAATTATTCGCAACGCTTTGGAATGCTACATCACAATGACCTTGACAAAGTATGCGAAGGAGGATACTATTTCAGAGAAATATGAGGAGAAATTGGAGATAGGGTTGTGTCTAAAGCGGTGAAAGTAATGATTGTGTGGTATTGGCTGGTTTTGTTTGAGTAAAATGTATTTTTTTCATTCTGTGTCCTCCATTTTCATTTACTTTTTGTAATAGATTCCAAGAATAAAAAAAGATGTAATGGATGTTTCAAACCCATTTATCTTTTTTGCATTATTTTTTTATGAACTGCTCGTGCTTCATATTGTTACTGAAACTAACCATTTTGTAGACAAGCATATGAACAAACACCTTGCAAATGAAAAATCAAGAACAAAATCGTGGCATTCAACCAGTTCAGAAGAAATGTATGTTTTTATTTTCACAAGGTATAACACTGAAACCTGATATTACACTTTACTGGTCTAAAAATGAATTGATCGAAACTCCATTTTAGGGATCTTTTTTATTATAAAAACACAATTTTTATTATACTTTTACTCAAAACATTAAATTTTGTGCATTCATTTTATTTCTTTTATTCTTTAATTTGTGAAAATAAACAGTTTTTAGAAAGTAAAACTTGCACTTATTTCCCCCCCCCCAATACATAGAATAACTATGCGCACCTGTGTGAAAAACCATGGCACTGCGAAATAAATCTTGTATGCTTTCCGTGGCAGTTAAGGGGTTAAACCATCTTATAGTCCTTATGCTGCTCACCGTCCAAAAAATAAATACACCAAAAAAGTAGATAGACATCGCGAGAAAATTGTTCCCAGTGTCACTGCCGCTGGATGGCTTAGAAAATTCAAGCAGTGACTTTTAACGATTTTGTGTCTATTACTTACGATAAATTTAACAATACTGACTTGTATTTTTGTAACAAATTAAAATTTGGTTCTACTTTGAAACTAAATGATTCCACAATGGTTGAGGCACTTAACAAAGGATTACCGGAAGCTCAGAGGATGCTGCTTTAGTTTAGTTACTTAAAAATATAAAACACCCTACAGGTCGTCTATTTAGATGGTCTTTAAAATTATCATTTTGATATAAAGTATAACAAAGGATCCACTAATGTTGAAGCTGACATGCTATCTAGAAATCCTATTTGCCAGCACTTAAGGTTGCAAGTTAATTTATTATCATTAGTAGAAATAAAAAAATGTCAAAATCTAAACAATGTTTGTAATCCTAAATATATGAAAATGAATATGTTTTAACTATTAAGAAACAAGGACTATATAAAATTGTAATACCCATGTCCCTTCGTACTAAGTTTCTTGAAAAAGCACACCTAGAATTTGGTCATATTGGCGTGTCTTCAATGCTAAATTTATTATCACCTCAATATTATTGGCCAGGAATTGTTCAAGATGTTAGAAATTATTGTAAGCATTGTGAAGCATGTCAGTTTAATAAGAAAAATAAACAAAAGAAATTTGGTTTAACGCAAAATTTACCATCAGTTAGTGAACCTTTTCAAATATTATCTATTGATACTGTTGGTGGTTTAAATTATTATAATTCTACTAAAAGGTATATTCACATAATTATTGATCATGCAACAAGATATATTTGGACTTTTGCTTCTAAAAGTATAACTACTGATACTTATATAGAAGGCCCAACACAAGGAAAAAAGGTTTTCAATAGTCCGCACGACAGCACGGTACCACAATAACTTAAAACGTGGTTTCCTTTAGTTCTCACGTTTCGTAAAAGCCAAATAAGCAATCATTGAATGCAATTACCAAAATATATTTTTATTAAGGAAAATTAACAAACGGCAAGCTATTTTGAACATGATATGTAACTTTCAATAATGAATAAATGAATAAACGGCAAGCAATCAAACATAATACAAAATAAAGCAGAAACAACAAAAAACACAGATTTAAGGAAAACGTTGCCTAGCATGAAATTAAGACTTTAATCACTTTCAAAACCATAAACATCCTTTTCACTATCATCATCATCGAAAACGAGAATATCGTCATCACTACTGTTTCCGTCATCGCTAGTATCACCTTCTTCGAATAATGCGTCGTCTTCTGTTCCGTCAAGAGCATTATTGATTACGCACTTCTTAAAGGACTTAACAATTACTTCAGCCTTTATGTCCTCCCAAGATCTTTTTACCCACTCGCACACTTGTGAAATAGAGGGCCACTTCATTCTACCAGAGGGTGTGATGTGGCTCACCTATCCACTTGCTCCATCGTTCTCGCACTTTTCCTTAAATGGCTTATTCACCGATACATCTAAAGGCTGCAGTTGGCTAGTCAGTCCACCAGGAATGATAGCTATTTGGGTTATTAATTATCTCGCTTTATTCTTTACAGTTACCTGTGTCCTTCACGTATAAGACACAGGTAACTTTTTTGAGACCAAATTTAGGAAAAAATGTGCATCTTGTATGCCGTCCAATACGGTACATATTTTACAGTTTTCCTGCAAAAGCTTTTCCATTTTAAGCCAATAAATTATTATAAAGCCCTCAAGCAATTGTATCCTGGAAATAGCATCTTCATTCCAGACTTTGGGATTTTACCCCGTTTTACTTTCTTGTATAAAGTAGAGGAAGTACTGAAATCGCAAAAAGTTCAGGTACCATATTTCAATGAAAAAATCCAATTCGACCATTCCCAGATCAATTTAAATGATTTTTTTTCATGTCATCTGTATATATAGAGAGAAAAATGGATTTCTTTTTTTTTTTTTTTTCCAAGATGGATTCAAAAGGAATTTTTTCATGACGTCTGTACTTATATACAGTACAAAGTCTTTAATCCGGACTCGTCGGGACTTCGGCGATTTTGGATTAGGGGTTTTTCCGGTTTATAGATCATCAATTCAAATCTAGTTAGATGGGATGCAGAAATTATAAAATTAAAAATATGAAACCATATAAAGAGCAATTATGATCTAAAGGGTATCAAAATTTAAAAAAAAAAAAAAAAAAAAAAAAAAAAAAAAAAAAAAAAAAAGCTGAATATTTATTTGTTTATTTTATTAAACATTTCTTTCAATATAAGTTGCTTCGTTTCATGTGCTAATACTTTCTCTTTAATTGTATAAACAGACATAATTTCTTGTTCAGTTACAAAGTTTCGCTGTTCAAGTCCCGTAATTGCTGTGCCGAGAATACCGACTAACTTGTCAATCGAAATATTTTCGTTTTCACTAACCTCTCTGTCAATTTCTTCATGCATTTATCCATTTTTTGCAGCAATTCCACTTTTTGTTTGATGGACATCGAAACATGCTTTCGCTTTGTAGATACTTTGGCAGCTCTAGAATCGGAAACTCTTTATGACATAATCGAAAGTTCAAGCTTACATTTTATAAATTTGCTCTAACAGTCTGCAAAAAATAATAAGCCAGATCCAATGAGAAGATTAAGAAACAACACAATCTGCAACATTAACTGAAATAGATAATTCGATAATTTTAGCCTAGCTTATACCGTTCGTTATACATTAAACGTGAATGTGTAAACGTATTATGCACATGTGTAAACGCATATGTGCATTCATAAAGGTATTATGCACATGTGTAAATGCATATGCGCATGCATAAAGGTACTATGCGCGTGCATAAACGCTATGCAGGCGCAGAAAGTTTGTAGCTTTGAGGTCCGGATTAAAGACTTTGTACTGTATATATGTATCTCCCATAACTAAAAAATTATTAGCTGTAGCACATTGCAATTTTGTATATGAGACTGCTATAATATCTAGCTGTGCACCTCTGTTTTTTTATTGCAATTGGCAGTACCAAACACACACACACACATATATGTATATATATGTACCGAACCCATTTTTTATTTTCGCACTCGTTGGTCCTAGTCATATACTTTGAATTACAGAAGTGTTTTAAATAATGAAAATATTCATGTTTTCTCAATTTCACATTTTTTTAGAAAAAATAAGTTTCAATAAATAACGAAATCTAACTTTTAACGTGATCTCCTGGCTCCTACATTAATATTTGGGAAAGTTTTATACTTGTTATGAAAAAATAAAATTATAAGAAGTTTTACTCTCATACAGCAAAAATTGACAGATTTAATTTCAAAATTTGCAATTTTTTATGTCATTTTCAACTTGTCTCGAGGTATGAATTCATTAAGTTAGAACAATTCGAGGAAATATATTTAAATGAAATGCAGCAAAAAATGTGTATAATTTAATAGGCTACACAAGAAAATCATATGGTGCCTATATCAAATTGAATTAAAAAAAAAAAAACCCGCTTATGCATGTAATCCATTTTATTATTTATAGCCAATATATTTATGAAAATGCTATTCTGCAACTTAAATGACTACTGAACCTTTCCATTTTGAGGTGCTATTTAAAATAAGAAATACAAAAACAGAACTGCATACTGAAATTTAGAAGAGGAAAAAATCATAAAATACCAGTGAATTGGTAATGCATGGTCTGGTTTATTCTCTCAGTGACACTTGCAAGCCACTGTTCAAAACTGATAGATTCCAGCATATCATTTGGAACCAATGCTGCAAAAGAAATGTAATATTTTGAGTAAGAGTAACTACTGTATTCTGAATTCAAATTTACAAACAAATTATTTGACTGAAAAAAATTACAGTATTTGAAAATATATAAAAATGTAATTACACTAAAATACCAAGTTTATAAAAGGTGTTTAAAAATTTCATCTTAGTTTAAAAATTTACCAAAACAATTATAAATTTGTCCTTTATGTCCTTAAAGTAATAAATGAAAAGAATAATAATTTTTCATACAACCACAGTTTGTTTTATTCAGTAATATTATACTGAAAAATATGTATAATAAGTTAATTGGCAAATAAATCAGTTTCAGTTTAATGCATAGCAACATATAAAACTGTCTAATATTTACAAGTCTATGCAATGCTAAATTTTCCAAAAAATAACAATGATGAAAACTCAAAATTTCATGATTAAAAAAAGGGGGATGTTTGTATTGCTTAAGTTTCAAAACTATTATAATAATCTGATATTAGAATCTACAGTCATAGTTATGACAACTGTTTCAAAAATGTTTTTGTGACTAATCTCACTTGATCAAAACAAGTCAGATCAGAACAAGGATCACCTAATTAAGACAAGCCCATGATTTTTTTTACCATGGAAAGGAGTGCAAGATTGCATCTGGTGCTGGCATGGGCCTTCAGCACTATACAGGTAACAGCACAACTTTGACCAGCTCCACCCCAATTTTGATGAAAAACACCCAGAGAGATGATTTTGAGGGACTTCCATTGCTCTTCCCTTACCACCAAGCCACTTGTGAGTCTTTCAGGCTCGCCATTATTTTGAGTATCCTCACGCCACACAGATACAAATTTACAAATATCCATGCATTCTCCGTGATCAAATCGTACAGCAGCCAGGAGCACTAACCACTATAATGATTGAAGCAGCAGAAAAGATAGAAAATAATTTTAAATTTATAAAAATAATTACAAGAAATTAAAAACTATTTAACCTAACCCACTCAAAAACTTCTCCCCCCCCCTATAATCCTTAGAGTAACATTTCATATTATGAACCTAAAAACTGAATGGTCACACACTGTTATAAGAAAAATCAGACACTAACCTTGAGTCTGCAGTAAAAATTTATTAGCATTTACAATAATTTTCAGAGGTATTATCCTTCATCAGGTCCACAATTAAACAATTGGAAAAGTCTGAATAATAATAAATAGTCAAAGAAAAAACTTCATATAAGAATGGGGTAATACATTAAAGAGTGAAATACCATACAAATCATATGACATGAAAGAAAAGTAAAACTTGCAAAGTTATAAAAATAGAACAAAGCCAAGAAAAAATAAACTACTTAAGATGCAACCTGTAAGTAATTTACAGAAGACCTGCAATCACCCTCTGATCGGCCATGGTTGTCACTAAGAAAGCACAAATTTCCCAAAATTATTATGAGAAAAAATTATTTTCTTGATTTTAATGCAAAAATTCTCCTGATATTTTATACCTGGATTTGAGTACTTTTAATATACAGGGTGGTTATAATTAAAGTTCCACTTTGAAATGGTTATAAAAGGAAAACTACCAAATGTTATCAAACTTTTGGTGTGGTATGACAGCTAGTTTCATAATTGGGGAATTTTTCTTTGAAGCTGGAGTCAACAGTGGGACCTGTTACATGCATTGTGACTGCAGCTCACTTAGCATCAATGTTAAGACGTTTCATTTCTGAACTGCAACAACGAGGCATTTTACACGATTATAGACACCCCGATTTTTATGCAGAAGGACAGCCCTCTCATTGGTATATGCGTCATACAGTTATTTAGGCAACATTTCACAAATGCACGGATTATAGCCTCACACCTCCCTACTTCTTGGTCACCCCAGTCACCAGACCTCAACACCAGAGGCTTAAGGCTATGGGATTATCTCAAAAGCACTATTTATAATACAGTCAAAAGTCGTTAATCCGAACACCCATAATCCGGAATGATCTATAATCCGGACCTCAAAGCTACAAACTTTCTGCGCATGCGTATACGCGTAATACCTTTACGCATACGAGTTTAATGTATAATGGACGGTATAAGCTAAGCTAAAATTATCTAATTATCTATTTCAGTTAATGCTGCAGATTGCGTTGTTCCTTAATCTTCGAATTAGATGCGGCTTATTATTTTTTGCAGACTGTTAGAGCAATTTTATAAAAGTAAGTTGGAACTTTCGATTATGTCAAATAGAATTTCCGATGCTGGAGCTGCAAAAGGATCTACAAAGGAAAAGCATGTTTCGATGTCCATCAAACAAAAAGTGGAATTGCTGCAAAAAATGGATAAAGGTATATCCTTTGTTTCTCTAACCATTCTGAAATCTGTTTATCAATTTCACGCTGCTCTGCAGGGGGCGGGAGGGGAAACATTGCGGCGAGCAATGAACTGAAAGTTGATCCGTCAGCACTATCCTTATCTTCAGGGCAGATATTTTTATTTTATTCGGCGTATAATTCCTTACTAAATGTAGTATTTTATCTCAATGTACTCCATCTTTGATATGATTTAAATTAAATTCCTCGTCATTATAAATATCACGAATAGAAATCAAATAGTTTTCTGGTTGCAATTTTCCAATTTCGACTATGCGTAATGTATGCTTTACGCATGCGCGCGTTGAAAGAAATGTTTAATAAAGTAAACAAATAAATATTAAGCTTTTTTTTTTGTAAAATTTGATACCCTTTAGATCATAATTGCTCTTTATTTCATAAATTACAGTTTCCTATTTTTAATTTTATAATTTCTGCATGCCATCTTACCAGATTTAAACTGATGATCTATAATCCTGAATCGCTGAAGTCCCGATGAGTCCGGATTAAAGACTTTTGACTGTAATAATCTAAATAGTTCGGCAGAACTGAAAGATGCGATACACCGACATGTCCGTAACATTCCTCCTGACATGCTAAGACCTGCTGTCGAGAATACAGTAATATGATTTAACTTGCTTTCAGAAAATGGTGGATGCCACATTAAACATGCTTTGTAACATGTTTCAGAAATGATTAAACACACTTTAAACCAATGTATTCATATTTTATTTCGTTTAACAATATTGCATACATCCCTTCCCCCTGGTGGTGAGTTTTTTTACTTCTCCCCCCCCCGCGGTAAATAAATTCTGGTGACCTCTTTCACATGATTACCAAGTTTGATAACAATTGGTCCAGTAATTTTCCTTTTGTGACCATTTCAAAGTGGAACTTTAATTATAACCACCTTGTATTGCCTTAACACTTCCTTTACTTCATACAAGGAAGTAAAAATTACTGTTCATTGTGTTTTATGCACGTATTTATATATACATTCTTACAGATATCACAAAAAATATTCTAGTCCATATATTTTCAGCCTTGCTGGTTGGAGGGTTAATACAAGACCAAATCACTAAACCATTAATAATAATGGAAAAAATAAGTGAATTGAAATGACAGTTTAGAGAAAGTTTATAAAATATTGGGGGAACAACTAAAAAGACACTGAGATGATCAATTTGAAATAGAATTCAGTTTTCTAATGGTTTCCAGTACCTATAACAAAGAATACAGAAATCAATATGTATTTCCTTACAGAAAAGAACTATAATATTTTCAGTGATATAGGTTTTGGAATTCAAAACAATATGCCTTTCAAGGTATAAGGAAAGAATTCATCCTTAACAATACAGTTTTTAAATTCTACATGCACAAGATAAATCTACCACATGAAAAACTGTAGAAACTATATAAGTAGCTTTTCCTTAAAACTTTCAGAATTAACCCTTGAGACTTTTCATTTCTAATTTTATGGAAAAATTATACAATTTAAAGTTATGTGCCACACTATAAGAAATGTTTCCAAGGAATGACTAGCACTAGTTTAAATGAAAGCTTTCTAGCTGAAACATTTGCACTCAAAGATGTCTTACAGTACATACCAGGACATATTAGAATGTTGGTGAAAATATTTTGCTGCGCATGTCCTGTCTCGCATCGAGGGGGGGAGGGACATGACGTATTTCTGGGTCTTTGGATAAGCCAACCAATTGAATTTACTGTAAGCAGAAATTCCCACAAATGTTTCTTTTGATGTACAGATGAGAGTAGCTAACAGATCTAATAACAGTTTAAAGACATCAGCATAATTTAACTTGAAAATATCTTTTTTATATGTCTTTACATATATTATTTTCTATCTTTCTTCATTCCATAATGGAAAGTTAAATATATAAATACTCCAATGATTTTTTTATCTCTTTTTGATTTCCCATTATTTTATCTCTTCATTCCATATGGAAAGTTAAATATATGAATACTCCAATGATTTTTTATCTTTTTTTTGATTTCCCATTATTTTCTCACAAAAGTTTCTCTACATTTGTTTTCCCATATGGTCATTCTGAAGATAAAATGTAATCATCATAGCCTCTTTTGCCCTCAACATATATCTTTCACAATTATAAGCCAATAAACCACTCTGCAATACACTTTCTATTTTAACCATTTCAAACAATTCATTAAGAAATGCCAAATGACTTAAGAATAAAAACATATACAGTATTCCATATTAAAATGCGTCAAAAATAAAAAATATATTCTTTTAATTGTCATATTTGAGAAATTATTGTTCAATTCACAAGCTGCAATTAAGACATCATTCAAATGCTTTAATGCTAAAGCATCCCAGCATCCCTTCTTAATGAAGGTTTGAGAGTCTAGTATGATATTTCTCAAAGTGGGTGACACGACCCACCAGTAGGCATTGCAGTGATGTAAGGAGAAAAGTGAAGCTAAAAGTGAAGGTGGGCAAAATAGTGTTTATTATGGTTATTACACAAAAGTGTTTACTTTTCCAAAAACATTTCGTTCAGTCATAATATGGTCTGTTTATTGTCTTGACTTTCTGCATGAATTTCTTAGAAATTTTTTGATAATGTACAAAGCGTAAAGTTTAAACTGAACAGCATTGATTCTCCATGAATTTTCAACCCAATCTCGCACATGATTAGAAGAAGAGGGATAGCATAATTATATGCTGTCCTTGAAGCTATACATGTCTTTAAAATTTGAAGTTTTTGCAATTCTAAGACATGTTTACATTTATTGTTGAAAGATCAGGTGATGTAAAAACAAGTTCAATAAAACATAGACATTTAAAAACTTTCAGAATCACTGATCATTTTATATACACAGTGTGTTTATAAATGCTCTACCAACAGGGAATTATATTTCATGCTTCATCATGAATAAATCATTCTCAAAGAATATCGACATGTTGCAATAGTCACAATGACTAATATGCAATCAAGATAAGATTTTTCTTCCCTCGCAGGACTAGTTCAGCTTTTTTGGCTCCCTAGGGGATCAGTACAGTTAGCACCCAATGATGAATAAAAAATAGATTAACCTTTTAACTGTCAAGTTATTTTGATGATTTGGGTGCATAAATTGTCAGTTTTTTTTATTCCAAAAATGAAATGTTTGCCAAGTCAAAAAAATTATTTAAAAAAAAATGCAGTGCGCTTTGAACTTTAACCTCTATCCTTTGAAACCTTCAGTCAAATGCTGCCATCTGTTGAACTGAAGCTGAAATAAGCTTCTCATGATATATATTCGCGTATAACAATACAAGGCACTCAAAAAAAAAAAAAAAAAAAAAAAAAAAAAAAAACTAGCCCGAGTAATATTCGGGCGTGACTTTTTGGAATACCAGTGCTGTGCCCAAGATTATTTCGGGTATGACAGTTAAAAGGTTAAAAGCAAAATGAAATGTACCTTTATTTAAGTGTCACTTCTAAAAGCAACTCTGTTGTTCAGACAAATCTGTATACAAGATAATGAATATTTCACTCATCTGTTGCCTCATACAGAAGTCTGTTGGCTGTCAAAGATAATCTGTTTGAGCCATAACTTTTCAACTCAATGCTAGAGGTTTTGGAAAACAAATATAAACAACAGCTGATTTAGAAATTCAAAAAGAGATATATTTTACTTGGTAGATATGTTTAATAAATTCAGTGAAGTGAACCTTCTTTTACAAGATGATAACTTGAATCTAGAAAAAGAAAAATATATTTTTTATGTTGTGACAAAGCTATGTATAAAAGAAGCTTAAGATGAAGAAAATTTAGCTTCTTTCCATATTTGTCAACTGCACGAAAAAAATTATGACAGCATATTTAAATACTGCCAACATTTGGAAGCCCTACAGCTGGACTTCAAGAAACAATTTCAAGGTATTTTTTAAATGGATAAACCCAGTTAGCTTTTGGATCCATTTTCCTTAGCAATTTCACAAGAATGTTATTCATTACGAAGAAATGAAGACCTGAAATTTAAATCTAGATTTAGATGCCAACAGTTTTGGCTGCAATATCAAATATTTGAATTTGATCTTGAATTTTGTTGCACTGATCCCAAACTTGATTAACTAGAAGGTTTGTTCACTGTAGTAACAATTTTAAGTAAAAAGAAAGGGAAAATATACAGCATATAAGTTACCACGGATATTTTATCGAATGCAGTTACCAAAAAATGAGCCAAATGCTGACAAACTGGTTGAAGCTCAATAGGTTCATCTTTCTAATTAAATTTATTTTGTTACGAATTTAGTTTGTAATCCTATCCTTTATATAATTTAGTAAATATGACTATGTACTTACTGTTAATTCAATTAATATACAAATAGCCCAACCTCATCATAACTGTTTTATTTTCTTACATATTTTGGTAAAAATTATACATGCGAATCTTCAAGAGTTGTAGACTTCATTATATGTACATAAGGAATTACAAAGTGATTTACAATAACATTCCAATTAAATATATGTTTTCAAAATCAAAGTACAAAAAATTATGCAGAATAAAATATAAATACAATTTTTTTTTTTTTTTTTTACTCACTCTGTTTTTTGTTGGTATTACTATTCAGTTTCTTCTGCGATCTAATTGATTTAGTAGTATTTTCTTGAAGCAGATATAATGTGCCTGCATCTAGAAAAATATATCTTAATCATTTTAAAACTAAAAATATGATTTATACAGATGTATTTGAGGCAAAATTGCAGTTATTGAAAACTGCTTAGTATGATCATATTTACCCACAGATATTTTGATAGCATTAATCAAATGATAACAAACAATGAGGTAAAATGCTTCTAAAAAATTTCAACATAATTTAACTACTTGATATAATAAAAATATACTAGAAGCATATACATGCATACTTTTTACAGTTTAAAATAAATGCTAAAAATATTCATTAACAGAAAACTACCCCCAAATTTACATAAAAATTTGTTTAGAATCTGCATATTTGTATTGTGTTTTGGAGATTATCTGCCCAACACTGTACCCTGTGGTGTAAATAAGGGTATGTAAAGAATGTCGTCGCATAGGGGTCCGAAAGCTTAGGGCATCCTTGAATGTCCTGCTGAACTACATTTATATGTTTAAACTTAAAAGACAATGAATTCTTTTATAAATACTATATATATTATATATTAATATATATATATATATATAATGTTGTATGATCTTAAATAACACTTTTAAAATAATTCTACTTTAATTAAAGTTAGGAGATAATATAATCAATTAATCAATACTGTTTAGGAAATATATATATATATAATGGAATCATCTGTCTTCTTTTAAATTGCCAGGGGCCCTGTGCATCATATGACACAGTTAAGTGCTCTTGAAAGCAGATAAAAAAGCTGAATTCAGTGCTATATACACCAAAACTTCAACTGAATACAAAGCAGAAAAGCTACAGTTGAACCTTGAGATACGAGTTTAATTTGTTCCAGCATTGAACTCGTATAGTGAATTTCTCGTATTTAGAAAGAAATGTCCCCATTGAATATAATGGAAATCCAGTTAATTCGTTCACCCCGAAAAATCTCATTGCCATCTCATCTTCAGTCAATGTACCTGGTGTTTTTCAGAGACAGTACAAGTACAGATTCTTAGCCTTAGTGCAAATGATAGCTTCCGACACCACATCACCTTTTAACTGCTTCCCGTTAATCCACACCAACAGCTTCTCAACATCTTCTAGGAGTTTTGGACGGTGCTTGGAAATAATGGTACTTTGGCCATATCAAGTTTCTTAATTTTTTCCTTCTTCTTCAGAATAGTGCAGATTGTTGATGTCGAAAAATGATTGTTGATGTCAGTATTTAAGTCTTTGCCAATTCCATCACTCTTACAACACGTCCCTTATGTTTATCTATGATTTGTTTCTTAATTTCAATGGCTATGGCTTCCTTTGTCCTATCTCAGGCAAGTCTTCTTGGGAGGCATCATAAAATAATTATTTTAACATTAAATGTAAAAAACAACTAACTCATAAGTACACAGACACGTAGATCAAAGAACACTAAGTGATCTGATGAGGGTATTCCCAGAGTCGAGGCGGATCGGAAAATGCGTCACGCATACCAACAGCCTGGCTCATTGCTTGTTAATTGAGCCAATGCTCATATTTAGAGACGAAATTTTCACTCATACTTTCATCGTATCTCGAATTTCTCATATATAGAGGTGCTCATATCTCAAGGTTCCACTGTATATGCTTTTATTTTTATTTCCTTTTAGGGGAGAACTTTCGCCGCTCAACCAGTATAGTGGTTAGCATTGCTGACTGCTGTGCCGAAGGGCGTAGGTTTGAATCCCGGAGACAGGAAGCCATGGATGTTTGTAAATGTATAGTGTCGTTGCAGCATTGCAGCACTCTAAATATGAGGCGAACCAAAAACCTCTCGTGTGGTTTGGTGGAAGGGAAGAGGGATGGGAAACCTTCGGACCCGTCTCCCCCAGGGTGCTTTCAGTGAAAATTGGGGGCCGAACTGAAGAAAATCGCACTGTCACCTGCAAGGTGCTCAAGCCTGTTCCCAACGACAGGCGTAAACTAGCGCTCCTTGCCACGAGGTATTTCATGAGCTTGGGCTGATGCAGCAGAGTGTAAGTAACAACAAGCGGAGAGCTTTGAAATGATACCTGGGTATAGATAGTTTCTCGTATTTATTGTGAGAACAAGTCCTGAATTTTTTTAAGTGAGCGAACAAGACGGCAAAAATGAAGGATTTTTGAAGTCCACTAGAACTCCCACTTTTAGGAAATGATTTTACAGTCAAAAGTCGTTAATCCGGACACCCATAATTCGGAATGATCTATAATCCGGACATCAAAACTAAAAACTTTCTGCGCATGCGCCGCGTTGACACATGCGCAGAGGCGTTCACGCGTGCACGTAAGACCTTTTACGACTGCGCATATGAGTGTGCGCAAGTGCAGAATACGTTTTCGCGTGCGCATTTTATGTATAATGGACGTATAAGCTAAATAATTATCTATTTCAGTTAATGTTGATGATTGCGTAATTCCTTAATTTTCGAATTGCATCCGGCTTATTATTTTTTGCAGACTGTAAGAGCAATTTTATAAAAGTAAGCTTAAACTTTCGATTATATCAAATAGAATTTCCGATATATATTTGTTAATATGTAAAGGATCTAAAGCGAAAGTATGTTTTGAAATCCGAAATCTGTTTATCATTTTCACGCTGCTCGGTGGCGGGCGCGTAATGAATTGGAAGTTTATTTGTCAGCACTATCCTTATCTTCAGCGCAGATGTTTTTATTTTATTTGGCTTATAATTCCTTACCAAATGTAGTATTTCATCTCGATATGCTTCGTCTTTGATATGATTTAAAACAAGTTCCTCGTCATTATAACTCGCTTCCGATAGCGAAGAAAGTGACAGAGGTTATTGAAAACAAAAAAATTTCGATTGACAAATTAGTCGGTGTTCTTGACACAGCAATTATAGGACTTGAAACGGCGGAACTTTGTAACTGAACAAGAAATTATGTCTGTTTAATAGAATTAAAGAGAAAGTATTATCACATGAAACGAAGCGAAACTTAAACAACTTACATTGAAAGAATGTTTAATAAAGTAAACAAATAAATATTAAGCTTTTTCTTTTTGCAAATTTTGATACCCTTTAGATCATAATTGTTCTTTATTTCATAAATTATGGTTTCATATTTTTAATTTTAGAATTTCTGCATGCCATCTTACGAGATTTAAACTGATGATCTATAATCCGGAAAAATCGATAATCCGGAATCGCCGAAGTCCCGACGAGTCCGGATTAACGACTTTTGACTGTATATTGTAGCCTCATGTCCAAGTTTCTCATAAATACATAAAGAGTGAGTTGGCTGAGGGTAAGAATTACTACTTTTCTTCCGCACTGTAGATTTTACACCAATTATTGTTTTAGAGCTTGGTTATATAATTTATTTACATAAATCTCACTATAATGGTTTTATCTCAAATAGAAGTTTTTAAAAAATGTTAAAATTATCTCTCCTCTTCCTTGCTTTCTATTCATGTTTCCTATTTCTTTCACAGTTTTTCACTTTTTCTCGTTTGTCAGATTGAAATAGTTTATAACTCTGATGCGCATTAATTTCAATACTATAATTTTTAGGTAATGAAATTTTATTCGAATAATTAAGCAGTTAATATTTGTATTCAATTTTTTTTTTTTTTTTTTCTTTACTTCAATATATGGTGAATTATAAAGCTTATCCCCAACAATGTTATGTATATTAATTAATTTTGTTATTTTAAAAGCACTCACATTAAAGATTTCATCAGCATCAAAGTGTAAGAAAAGTAAAAATGAAACAGCGTGAAGATTCAGTATCGGCCATTACCATGCAAGGCCGAAGACAACAAATCTTATTTAATCTAACAACCTGGTAATGTGGCTTCGCAAGGCAGAACACGCTCTGTCTTACAATCTAAAGACCTCATCTTTCCTAATTTACATTCTGGCATGGAAACGAAAAGAAAAAATTATAGTAAAGGTCTAAGATCTAAGCTAAATAGAAAAAATATGTATTAAATTTATATTATTAGTTCTTCTTAAATTCAATAACTTATACGTTAAAAGCTAGTTTCTAGCAAAAGTTAAAAACTGTAATATGAAATTTAGTGCAGTATAGCTAGGCATTTCTGGAGAACATTAACATCGTATTTTGTTTTATGAATCAAAATTATTTATGCATTTATTTAAACAAAACCATGAAGTGTAATTTAATTCACTTCTAATTTATGGCTTGCTAAATTTCCATTAAAATTTTTATTTACATTTTTGAAAGCTGTAAAACATGAAAGAGTGATTTCTAGTCTAGATATTGTTTTCCTCATAGGTTTGCAAAGTTGGCATACTGTTTGTTCATAAGTGAATTATATCAAAGGGAGAGAGCGCAGTCTGCTTAGTGAAACGAATGGTCTCTGAAAGAAAGTAACTTGTATTTACTTACATAGAAAAAACAACAAAAATGTTTATGCAATTAGACCATTCTCTAGGTTTCGTACCTAGGACGAACTACTACTGTTCAGTGGTCTTAATCATTTGATTATTTGTGGCTATTTGCTGTATTGATGAGACTGCCTTAATGTTAGCTCGTGCAGACGATAGGTGATGGAATGTTAAGAGTAAATAAGCTATTTAAACTCATGTTTAGATTGAAAATGAAAGTAAAGAAAAATGTGAAATAAGTTGCTTATAATTTTAATAAACAATACAGAATATACTGTTTTAAAGTAGGCATAAAATACTGAATGATACTACTACACTTTTCTTCCTTCTTAATTTATTAAGTGATGAATTAAATGATCTACTCTACTTTTTTTAATATGCCTTTTTATTTATAAACCAGAAAATTAAAAAATCTTATAACATGGAAAAGAAAGCTTTAAATTGGGCCCATAAAAGAAAGAAGAAAAAATACTTATATGATGCTTTTGAATGGGCAATAAAGAAAATCAAAACTGATGATTGTTATTTCCAAGTTGAAAATTCTAGTCAAGAAGAATATCAGGCATCAACTTTGTGCTAACAGGAACAACCAACAGAAATTTGCAAACATTTAAATGTGGCATCAGACTGTTCAAATATAATTGTAAGAATTAAAAATGTACCAGAAAATGTTTCGACTGAAATCACTGAAGAAGGCGAACTATCAGAAAATATTTCAGCTACAGTCATAAATAGTGATGAAAGGTCAGACAATATTCCAACAGCATTTAGAGATATAAAAAATGAAAGATAGCTATCCAATTTTGGTCATTATCCAGAAATTTTTACAAAGGATTTATTTTAAATTTTGACCTTTGTAGACTAAAAGATATCAATTTTCTCCAAAACAGAGGCAACAGTTCATTTTCTTCTGTACATTATACAGTAGTTAATAGCTCCATTTTAGATACAGATTTTGCTTTGTTATTCACTTGAATTTAGCAAAGACTATTGCGAACCATGTTGGTTAATTTCAAATAAGGATAAATGTGATCAACAGGAATACAGGACTGGCAATTATTACCCATAAAAAAAATGTGCAAGAGAAGTTCTCATCATATCGCAAGCTTTATTGAAAAGAAAAATTGGGAAGCAAATAACTGTATCGATCAAACATGGGAAAAATCTGTAAAACATAAAATCAATTTCAGTTAGTTCTAGAGACTATGACATGGTGATGAATAACGTTATAAAAATGCTCTCAAGCACTGTTAAATATTTGAATTCTGTAACATAAAATGAGTTACTTGAATATTTAAGTAGTATTTGTTTGAAAACAAAGCTTTTGGATGAAATTAAAATTTCTCTTTTTTATTTATTTGCAGGAATTTCGCGTTCTAAGTAATTGTAATCACGAAAAACTTCAGTTATTTCAATGGAAATATCCACTTTGACTGTTCCTGAATCCATCTGGGGCCCACCAGCGGCCAAGCAGTAAAGTAACTGAACACTGGTAGTTCGGTCCGAGGTTCGAATCCCCAGAACAATTTGGCTGCATGGGCCTCCGTAGTTTTCCCCATGTGTAGTGTTTATATGAGCCAGCTTTGCTTAGAAAGACCTCCACGAAGGCATCCCTTACCCTAGGAAGATAGCTCTCGACGCTTTGCCGTAATTACATAAACCAAACCGAATCCATTTTGTTTTTTTTAGGGGGGGCGTGACGTCTATACGTACAGACAGAATAAAGTAAAGAACTCTTTTTTTAAAGCAAAAAATGCACAATTTACGAACATATAAGAATAAAGAAACTGCGCTCACTGAGCCAAGTAACAGAGTAGATATATATAAATATTGTTTCAAAAGAATGCTCTCAGAATTTAAATGATATTGTAGATTAGTTCGCAGCAATAATTAATCATTTATTTGCAATTCAATTTCATTTAAAATTTAATTTACTTTAAATTTGCTTTTCATGAATAGAGAATGTTTGTTAAATTTATATATATATTTATATAGTTTTGGTGAGGCCGACTGCAACTAAAATACGAGGTGTGCATCTACATGTTATAGCAATCCTACATACAAAATTTCAACGTTCTGAGGCTACTCGTTTTTGAGTTATGCGAGATATTTAATTCAAAATTTGCAATTTTTTATGTCATTTTCAACTTGCCCTGAGGGATTGGGTAATTAAGTTAAAATTATTTGAGGAAATAACTTTAAATGAAATGCATAAAAAAGTGTATAATTTAATAGTCCATACAAGGAAGTCTCCATATAATACTTTTAATTACTAAACCTGATCTGAGAAAATCACTATCAAAATGGGGTCTCCTGGAGACTTCGATTTTTTAGAGGGGGATAGTTCTGTAAATTTATTGGGGGCAAGAATTTTTTTGCATAGGGACCCTAGAGTTTTAGTTATGCCACTGACTGTACCCCTAATAAACAAAGCACTACTCTCATCTTAGCACAAGCAGAAAATTTGTGGCTACCTTATCAGCTTTTCTTCCCAGAGTTTCTCATATTTTGTGGAAGGATGTTTGAAAAAGCATTTGTCTCTGTGTTGAGGTAACTGGAACAGTTTCATCAATATCTCTTCAAATTTCAAAATTCTCAGAATTTATATTAAAAAATGTTTGATTTTTCTCTTCAACTTCTTTTGCTTCATCAGTTATATAAAGGTTGTTATGCTTAAAATGGCTCTTTTGGATCATCAGTTATATAAAGGTTGTTATGCTTAAATGGAAATTTTCTGTCTAGGGCACATATTCAGCTGATGAAATACATAAATAAATCAGTTTACTTTGCTAATTTATTTTCACATTCATTCCCTTAATTCACAGTTAAATAGTGAATGTGTGTTTGCTGGAAGGAGTACCGCATGTTTTATGGAGCCATAAATGTTGTATAATTATCAGCCAGAAGACATCATTCTTCAATTCACGTTATTATTTCAAAATCCATTTTTTACAAATTGCTAAATCTGCAATTTTGATATAAATTTTATAACTTATTCTGGATTAAAAAAACCATCATTCTGTAAAATATAGTCACATTAAATGGCAATCACTGTATACTACATAACAGAGTTACAATGCTTATGATACATTGGTACAGTACAATTTCTTTTTCAAATGCTCTAGAATATATTCAAATCTTTAAAAAAAAAATAAACTTTGATGAATCTAAGTAAAATATGTCTAGCATAGAACACATTCTTTTTAAATTATAATATTCTAACTTAAGATTTTATGACAGTCAAATATTAATAAATGAATATGAATTAAACTTAAGGAATCGGGACTATAAAACACCAATTTAAATTTGGTTACCCAAATTGATGGTCCAATAATTCAAAAGTATTTTTAAAGTTAGATATAATCAGTTAACATTGGTTTAATGTTGATTGTTAATCATGAAATAACTCAGGACTGACAACCTGTTGACAGACATCCACCCCAAGTTTTTATCTTTGCAGAGTAGCTTTTTGATGCCCATTATGAGTTTATATGTTATATATGCATGGAAATTTTGCAGGCTGAGCATCTGTCGAATGTTCCATGACAGACCCTTGGTTGTCAACAAGGAGCTATATGCCACATCACGCATGCTTCCATGGCAGTTCTGAAGAAATTTCAGAATTGTGTTATCTCTGAATTTGGGAAAATCCCATGGATGGCCAGATTACACGAACTTTCAGCATGTAATTTTTTAGATATCTGAAATCCCAAGTCTTCTCTCACATAGTTTCAGAAGTGAAAAATCCATTCAAGAATTTTGCTTAACATGCTTTAAAGAGTAATGGGTGACCTTAGTAAGAGACTTGACTTACTCAGTATGTTCAGTAGAATGGCAGACATTTTTGGCTGACAGCTTTTTTGATGCAACACTGTTTTCTTTATTTTGTGCCACACTGTTTTCTGTTTGGTAACTTAAATTTATAAATAAGTACGAGGACCATCCAGGAAGTAGATTACGTTTCCGTCTGTGTCTGCTAGGGGCGGGGCTAGCGCGGCCGTCTTGGGGTCAGAGCGTTGCGCAGCTCAGTCTGCATCTAGCCGTGCTAGTGAGAGTTTCGTGCTGTGCTCCGTTCAGATACTGTGACGGTTTGAAATGTCTGCGTTAATTAAAAATCCCGCGAGCTGCGCTCAGTAATAAGGTTTTTGACTGCAAAAAACTGTAAACCGATAGAAATCTATCGGCAGCTTCGTGAAGTGTATGGGGACTGAAGGTGGAGTGCGTCAGTGGGTCATAAGATTTCAAAATGGCCGAACCAATGTTCACGACGAAGATCGAAGTGGGAGACCCAGCATAGTGACCGCCGAACTTCTCGAAAAAGTCGATGCTAAAGTCCGTGAAAATCGAAATTTCACAATAACGGAACTTTCTTTCTTTGAGTTTTTCCACAAATTTCGCGAAGTTTGTTGCACGAAATCATCAGCGAAAAGCTTGGTTACCACAAGTTTTGTGCAAGATGGAAGGCAAGAAGAGGTAACGAAGTGGTTGAAGGCGCAGGCGACCGAATTTTTCGACGAATGAATTTCCAAGCTCGTACATCGCTACGATAAATGCCTTAATTTGTATGGTGACTATGTAGAAAAGTAGTATTTGAGTGTGGCTTTCATCTGTATATAATAAAATTTGTTTCCTATACTTTGTTTATTTTTTTATTCCAAAACGTAATCTACTTTCTGGATAGCCCTCGTATATGCTTTCATATCTAGTTTGCACTCTAATTTATTTTACTCAAATAATATTTTTAATTTCTTCTTAATAAATTTTAACTTTCTAAAACATAACTCGATTCACTGCCACACCCTGTATAAATAGACTGAAAATTATTCTAATGTCCGATTAACAAATGACCGAGTGGCTAAAACCATGGAATATTAGTAACTCATACCACCTTCTGTTTCCAACAATTAAAAAAGCTGATTGTGTGGGGGTTTTAAGGCATTTTTTTGGAAATAATACAGTTTTTCTTACAATATCTATCATAAAATTCATTTTTCTCTAAGCCAGACTTACCTTAATTGTTTTCCTATAATTTAGAAAACTTACTAATCTATCTGTACTGCTGCATCAAATATTTTTATCATTAACTAACAATACCTAAGTTCTTAATTAAATAGAGATGAGTTACAACAATTAAAAATTAAAACAAAATATTAAGGATATACATTTTTAATTATTATATATTAAAATCTAGAGCAATTTTACATTTTCATACTATCTGCAAATTATGCATGGTTATAGATAAGATAAAATTCTACCTAATTCATATAAAAGGATGCATAAAATAATGCATACATTTTGATTCATTCTTTTTCCTTTTTGGAGGAGAGGGAGATAAACCATCACCATCAAGAAAAATATCTCTTAAATTTTTCAATTCAGCTTTGTTTTCACTCATGCCAATAGGACCTGTTGATATGCCTGAAAAATAAAAACTGCATTTTTTTTTTTTTTTTTTTTTTTCCTTATTTATAAAAGTATCATTCCAGCAAAAAAGAAATCACATTGCTCAATAAAAATATACAATTTGAAGAACTTCAAAATTAGGATATATTTAATTTTAGTATGATATCGATTTCAAAATGGGTCTCGCAATATGCAAATAAAAACTGAATACATTTTGTTAATGTTCTTTCTTCTTTTATACATAGATTTTTGGTAGCCAACGCAGATTTTGCTGATTCAGGTCCAAATAGACTTTTACCAACAGTTTTTTAAATTTTCAGGTACAGAATATTTTGTTTACCACAGCAAATATTGCATCTTATATTTAAACAATATTTCCCAGTGAACATTTTTCTTATTAGCATGACAACAACTTTTAATTTCTAGTACTCTTTCTCTACACACACACATATATATTTGAAGAGTAATTAATAAAATATTGATGAGCTCACTAATTTGAAAGAAATACAAATTACATAAATATACATTGCAATTTACTGCAACATTAATAAAAGACAAGTTATTTTTTCCCATTCTTCCCCTTGCCCCCTTTTTTTTACTGGTTCTCCTACAAACAATTTACCATGATGTATTTTTATTTTAATAAAAGGAAAGAATTATTTCCCCTTCTACCCCTTGCCTCCTTTTTTTTACCAATTTACCAAGCCATTTACCATGATGTATTTTCATTTTCTTTTACATCTCACACTTGTGTATTCATTAAAACTTTTTTTTTTTTTTTGCTTGGTAAATAGCAATATTGAAACAAATTCTTGAACTGTCAGGCTAGCACCAGAAATATAAAAGCATAGCATTACAATGAAATGCATATTCTACAAAATATTAATTTTCAGATTATAACCAGGGATGTCAGAAATAAAGATAAGGGAGTATATTTAAGGCTTCCATATACAGGCCAATAAATTTAAGCACTGTAAAAATACAGGTAATAAAAGTAATACACAAACCAATAATTATAAAGTAAGTAATAAAGTAATAAAACTATTATTCACAATTTATTTTATTTGTTCATTCGCATGGCTTGTAATCATGAAAGCTTGAGTTATTTCTAGGTTTCATCCTTATTAAGTTGCACTTGCACAAGACACTCCATCAATTAATAAGTGACTACATATGTGTAAAGCAAATTTTATTTATCGCAGAGTGTACAAGTAATAGAACATTTTCAAAAGTTAGTCAGTTCGTGTTTTGAAGAAAAGATCTCAATATAACTGTCTCAAAGTCAATTAAATTGGGCATGTACACTTCATATCAAACTGGACACTGCTCGTAACATAGCTTCTATTATAGTCTATGATAATGTAACAAGCAATCACTGTGGCCAGTGGCGGTTCAAAAAATATCCATCTAGGATTAAGATTTTGAAAAATACTCAAGCAAGGCATCAGGCCAATTTAAAAAATTCTATCAAGATAAACTAGATAAGCAAGATAATTAAATCCACACAACTAACTATTTGTATCAACATGGAAAGACAGCATTTTTTCCAGAGGCTGTCATCAAAGCATTAAAAATTCAAAGCCACTGATGAGGGTTACTTTATATTTTGTGAACTACTATTCAAATTGCTATTTTGAGCATCAGTAAAATGGGAAAAGAATGACCTCTGAAATCTCCTCAGAACACTTGCCATCAGCTGCAATAACAATGAACAAGAAGCAGGAGCACTGATTAATAAAAAGGAAGTCTTGTTTCAGCAAAACACACACAGCAAAAGCATTGAAGAAAATGATTACTAGCTTCAGCTGGGAGCTTCTAATCCAAACTTCATATTTCCCAGACAATGTGCCTTTATGCAATTATCTCTGCTTTGGAATAAGCAACCATTTATGAAATTCGTGGTATCAAAACCAATATCATATCAAAAAGGGAGCTGAAGCACTTTCATGATAGTAGAGAGAGAAACTTTCGTGAAAAGGAACAGAAATGCTTATTAGGTCACTAGGAAATTGAACTGGACTGGATAGGATTGTTTTGATTATGACAAAGCATGTGATAGCTATCTATTTAAGAGAATGAATGTTTTCATGGATTGCTTTCTAAGGTAAAAGATGTCAAAAGTTTAATTTGTTGTTTTAGTTTTCTAAGCAAAATATTATTCACTATCACAATGCCTTATCATTCATTTCTAATGATTAAAACATCATGAACTTTCTTGTTTACCTGATATTTTATAATTTTTTTGGTACTCTTCTATTATTGGAACTGGATTCAGAAATAAATGTATGTATGCATATATATATGTATGTGTACATGTCTGTATATGTGTATATATGTGGTATGTATATAAGTGTAATTACCTGTATATATATGTGAGTGTACATACACATATATATGCATACATACATACATTTTTTAATCCAATACTGATTAAGCACATACATACACATATGCATACACACATACATTTTTGAATCTGATACTGATAACAGAAGAATGCTGTTTTTTAGTCCTGGATAACCATGGTGACTTACTTCTATACCCTTGAGGGTCAATTAAAAGTTCTATCTGGTGGCAACATGCTGCTCAATATGTTGTGTTAGGAAATATTTAAGAATATATCCTGAATAATAAACAATGATTATTCCAAAATTCTTGGACTTTAAATTTCAAATAATCTTTTAATGAAATAATTTCATAATAAAATTTATTAATTTAGTTACAGGTGCCCATGGGCCATTAGTTGGCTGCCATATCGCAATATCTTCCAAGTGAATATTGAAAATATTTTTTTAAAAAAAAAATCATTTGGCAAATTAAAACCAAATTAACAGAAACAAAAATAAATTATACATAAAATTAGCAAATTATAAATGATTATAAATGTCAGTGATGAAGATTACAAATAAGACAATTAGGCAAAGTAACAACCTTGTGTTTAGCATAGATTTTAATCAATCATCAAGTTATTGCTTTGCTTAATTATATGTTTTACTTTGGTGTGTTTATCTTCTTTCAAGATTACAGATGTCAGTAAACAATATTCAAGCAAAGAGTTTAGAGAATAATGATACCCACAGAAATTCCAAACATCAAATGTCAATCACAATTTAATATATTCATTACAATTCTAGAAAAATCAGACAAATATAAAATCACTCTTTCACACAGGTGAACTCTGCAAAAAAGATTTAATATCAAGACTGTCTGATGTTACAAACTGTGCAACAATGTCTTTTGTACACAGGACATGACCATAAAAGAAGGCATTATGCATAAAATTAATATTTACCTGAAGAAAGAACAGACTGAACTAAGGGTTTAAATTCTTCCAAAAGTCTTGCTTCACTTGCAAAAGCACATATGCATATATAAAAATGAATGCATATATTCTTTTCTTTTGGCACAAAAGGTTTGGTAATCTATAAGGAAATAAATTTTAATAGAATTTTTACAACAAAATAGGCATCATGAACTTTGTGACAGATTGCATATTAAATTGTGCGAGAAATTTTAGTACAGTTGCTGTAAAACATGAATTTTTAAAGTATAATAATAAAAAAATTCTTCCCAAAGGATATACAAAAATTCAGATATTTTTGTTATAAATTAAAAAATTTTAATCACAGAACTTAATAAAATAAATATTGAAAACTGGCCATGAAAGAGATCACCATTTACGGTTATTTTACACACACATAAAGTTTTGCAATAATCATTTCCATTACCCAAATCTGATTCTGTAGGTTTGAAATGACAATATAGGTGCAGCTGCTTAGGTTGGTTATTTGAATATGGTAAAATACACTAGGACTATCTGCCTAAGGAAAAGGGATGCCTCTGTGGAAGAACTTTTTAGGTAAACTGGCTGATTATCACATTACACATGTGGAAACAATAAAAACAAACTATGCAGCCAGTTCATTCACCAGGGATCAAATCCAGATCAAACTCCCAGTATTCAACAGTCTTCATCACTCGACTACTAGTGGGATAGGTGCACATGGTAACAATACTTACGAGAAGGTAATGATACTGGTACGTTTGATCAACTACATTTCAGTGTTTCATTGTTGGCCTATTTCATTCCACATATAATAAAAATTCAACTTTTTTTCAGGGGTATCCTGTTCTAAATAGCAGATACCAAAGGATAAGTTCAATTGTACAAATTTTGTAATTTTAAATAATACATGAACTATTGATAATTACTACATAAAACTACCAATAATTATTACATAAAAATTTCGAATATAAAAATTTATAAAAACATTTTTTAATGAACTGTTGCAGCTATCAAGCTATTAATAACATTTTTTTCAAAGCTACTTTTATTGGCAAATCAGATACATTAAATTCAAATTTGTGTCACAAAAGATCCCAAAAAACTAAACTGTTAATTTTTTTTTAATGTTTAAAAGGAATTTCGTTCCTAAGGAAAATGCTAAGTATTTCTCTGATATATTAACTAAATTTTTAAAATGTGAAAACTAAAGAAAATTCAGTAATTTTCCTTAAAATAACAAAAATACTGTGATTAAAATGCAGAATCATTATGCAGATTAAACCTTTTCATGGAGGCTAGGGCATATAGTCCCCAGCAAATTATAAATCCACTTTCTTGTCAGTCACAGGGATAGGAATTTAAATGATTGAGGCTTGGAGATTATTTTACGACACCCAGACAATGTGTTCTTGTGTTAGAATCCATTAATGGGTAAGGGAAATTATCCATTTTTCAAACCTATATTGCATGTTTGCAAATTTGACTTTCTCAATGAAACATTTTGTTGAAAGAAAGAAATAAATTGTTCTGCATTCTTACACATCTGCTTTTTAAGAACTTCCTTTAGTTTTTTTTTTTTTTTTTTTTCCGTATGACTGTTGCAAATATTGCTATTCATTCTTTCAGCAGGCCCATTTTTTTTTTTTTAATTGAAATGTATTCTTGCATTATCTAAATTAAAAAATATAGAGTTACTTTTGTAAAATTGTTTCAACAAGATCTTTGTTTTACTATTAAAATGTTTAGTAGCAGAAAGTTATTATTTTTTGAATCTTACAAAAAATGGCAACAGTATAGCCACAGTAAACTAAACATTGCAAACTGGATGACTTTTGAGTCCTCCACATAGATTCTAATAAAAAAAATCTTATTTTATCAGTTGCTTAAAGCATCCTTAGCAATGTAAATTACTTTACTTGAATAAAAAAATAAAAATGACATATGAATGGGAAATTGCCCTCTAGATCAATATGAAACAATTTTTATTTTTGGAAAAATTTCTTTTTAGAAATGATTTTTAAAAGACTGAAGGATTTACAAATGCATAGTTTTCCTTTCATAGTCTCCAAATTTAGTTATTTTAATGTAGTTTCAATTTGTGTTTGAAATTTTTCTTAATTTCACTCTTTTAATACCTTTTTATTTCATTTTATATCATTTTTAATGTGTTTGCAACAGGAGTGTAATTAACACAAATATTTCAAGTCATAGAAGTTAATTATAATATTATTCTAAATGAAGCATATTCCAAGATCAGTGTTGATAAGAGTAAAATATTTTGTTGTTGTTATATTCAAAAAGCCAACTATTGGCTTAGTGGGTAAGATTGTTGAACACTGATAATTCAAACTGGGTTCAAATTTCAATGAACAGACTGACTGCATGGGCTTTACGTATATCTTGACACGTATAATGTTAATATAAGCCAATTTCTCTTACAAAGTCCTCTACGAAAGCATCCCTTGCCTTAAGCAGACAGCCCTAGTATCTTTTGCCATAATCTGAGAAAAGAAAAATTATATTCAAAATAACAAAGCCAAAGTTACAAATATCCATAACTAGACATAACATAATGTCTAGACACTTCTTTTCATGAAGTTTTTGATAACAAAATGAATATCAAGTGTGCAACAATGAAATACGAATTTTTTATTATGCAATTAATGTGGAGTGATTTATAACACGAAAGGAATGAAAAAATGAGGGGAAAAATATATTAAATTATCACCGTTGAAATTAAAGTAAATCAATCAGGATACTGACATAATAAGCATTACTGGGATTCAGATGTTTTACCATTTTCCAGTTCATTTTATTTTATTTCTCAGCAGGAACCTAACTATTGTACACAGAAATAGCCACCAATATCTTCTCTCAAAAAGAGATGAGAGATAATTGGATTGACTAGATAGCCCCCCCCCCAAATAAAGAACAAAGTAATTATAAAAAAGTTTGTGATCTGGAAACTATACATTACAATCTAATATTTTAAACATAATTTTAGTATTTGAAACTTCTAAAAGCATAGAGCAATATAAAAAGTTGAATAAATATTTTGCCTATTGCATTACTTTTACTTAAAAAATATTTTTATGCATTTCTGTTTATAATATTTTTTGCATTCAAAAAAGAAATGCAGCAGTAATATTAAATAGTCAAATAATTCCTTCTATAAAAAGTCAAATAATTATTCTTCCCTTCTAAGACAATGGTAAAATCTAATATTACTGAATAATAAATTTAAAATTTTGCAATTGAATAAAATTTGAACTCAACTCAGTAAGGGTTTCATTTTGAAAAGCTACAGCTTCTATTTCTGCATCTCCTTCTTGAATGCAAACTTTTCTAAATGAAAACTATAAATAGATAAAAAAGTTAAAAGATCTTATATCACCGATCAAAAAGCAAGTCAGATTTAGGGACTACCATCTGAAACATCGCATGAAAGATAAATAAAAAAGTCTTGTCTCATGCACTTGTAAGTTTTTGTCACTGCACGAGTAGATAAATAGTTATTCAAGCAATACCAGAGCAGTGACCCACCTGTATTTCGGCAGGAATGGGTTACTATAATAGTATAATGGCACAGAAGTAATAACATTCTTTTAGGGGTTCAAAATATTTTTAAATGACACTTGTAGTAGATGAAAATGAAAGATTGTGGTACACAAAGTGCTGCTCAAAATCAAAATAATTATACTACTTAAAATAAATTTTGAATGGTGTACATGACTGTATAATAATATTATACAATACCAGGGCAGTGAACAATCTGTATTTCGGCAAGAATGGGTTACTGTAATAGTATAGTGGCACAGAAGTAATAAAATTCATGTAGGGGTTCAAAAAATTTTTAAATGACACTTGTAGTAAATGAAATATGCAAGATTGTGGTACACGAACTGGTCTTCAAAATCAGAATAATTATAATACTTAAAATAAATTTTGAATAGCGTACATGATTGTACTTGTATAATAATATCATAAAATAAGTTATAATTTTCTGTATTTGTTACATTTCAGTAAATTTAACTCTGATTGCTTTATTTATTTTCAGTATATAATTTAGGTGAAAGATAAAAAAATATTTTAATCATGAAACAGAATATTTTTTTTAACAAAATTCTCTAGTAGTAGCATACATTTCATTTGAAGAAGAAATGCTAACTAGTTTTCATGAGAAAACTTCAGAAATCTATCTGTAAAGTGAAAGCCATTAAAACATTTCCCACACTCTGACACCTGAAGCTTCCCATTGGATTGAAAGGCAAAACTATGTGTTTCTCTTCTAGCCAACAAAACAGCACTAATCACTTCATACTCAAGATTCTGTGGAATCTTTTCCTTTTCCCCTTTCCTTAACCACTGAGCAAAGAGAAACACAGCCATTTTCAAGTCCATGTGAAAAGGTTAAGGTAGTGTTTGTTCACTAAACGACAAAAAAAAAAAAAAAAAAAAAAAAAAAAAAAAAAAAATTATTTTTAATTGAAAATTTGTAAAAGGAAAATATTTCTGGTTAATCCCAAACTTTAAACATATATAACTACAAAACTATTCACATGATTTTTATAAAATGTAGTATATGGCATAATTTTAGGCACAATATATATCAATGGAAAAATAACTGGCATATCATTTCATAAAAAGTCTAATTTTGCATCAAATATGTATGTTACTGCAAAGTTTTATATAAAATTAACATTATTCTATTTTACATTACGTTTTTTAATACCAAAGGAAAATATTAAATCATTATTAAATTAATGTAAAATTAGGTATTAAAATGATACACTAATTCTGTGTCAGAGATTATCTCATACTTTTGAAAAACATTTGGTTCTGAATTAAGCCTTTGTAACACAAGACATCATTTGTCAGCCAAGACAATTTTTTTCAGGTAACTTGTTCAACAAATGATTTATTCAAGATCGCAGTCGTTCATAATATGAGTTTTCACTATATACTCCTTGGCATTATTTTTCTTTATTATGTACCATATTCTATGATTTTCTATTTATTTGTTGCTTTTTGGTAGCATAATTTGCTGAATAAAATGAATAAAAAATGGTTTTAAAATTTATATTTAAATAAATATTATATAATTTCTTCTTGTACTATATAAATATTCATTTGCTGCAAACACAAATTTACTTTCAATATAAAACGGGTGGTCTTATAATAAGAATTTAATGGTGGTGCTTACTTCCTGCAATATAAAGTGACAATATAGTATACTACAACTCAGTCATGCTGCATTTTACATAACTTATATTATTCAGATATTTTAGGAAAATTATAAATACAGTTTTGTAAAATTACTAGAACTACAATGATATATCTTGTATGGTTTAATATTCTGAAGATTCAAGTTAGAAAGTATATTTATTATTGTTCTGCACATATATTTTCATTCAACAGAAATGTATTTTTAATCGATGAACTTGAACATGAGCAATAAAGCTTCAAAAGAATTATGGTAGAAGTTTTTATAATATTAATAAGAAAAATGTTTGGTACTATTCGGTTCTGTTAAATGGGCGCGTTTGCTAGATTTGGCGCTTTTGCGCGTACATTTTCGCTGCAATTTTTTAACGGCCCTCGAAACTGAATAGTACCAATTGTTTAGTTTGAAAGAACTTTGTGAAATGTTGTATTTGTAAGTAGTAAGATATCATATTTATTTGCATATTATGATATTATCCTAGTTTTCCTACTAATTTCAGCAATTGAAAATAGGGAGCAGTAAAACACATAGTACATATTATTTCTGAAGAAACAGCTTAAATGAAAATAATAAGAAAGAAAGAATATTAAAAAGTACATATAAAGACCCACTAATAATTGCATTAAGTATATTTTAAAGAATTTATCAATTTCAATAATAGTCTTTTTTACTTACATAAAATATATCCTATTTGTGCATAAATTTTGCACTGTTACAATAAATCAGAAGTCTCAAAATCATATTCTGAAAAATTACTGGGAAGAATACATGAAGGGGTGAAATATGCATGTAAATATGCTATTTATCTAATCACAGATATAAACAAATGGCAGTATACACTTATTTGCATTCTTCAATGCTATTCTGTTCTTCATTTCTTCTAAAATTTTCACATAAATGTTCCTTTTTTTTTTTATATCCATGAAAATTTATTTTTCTAGCTAAAAATCAAATATTTATGATAAGCATACAAATTTGCACTGAATATAAAATCTTGTTAAAACAAAAATAAATTACCTCACTTTGGCATTCGCATAGAATTCTATACTTTCGAGAATTTTTACCAGGTTCAAAAACAGAAAAGTGAAGGAAGCCTAAAGGATGTTGATCATCTGGGTTACATCTTATAGCGAATGTACTTTTTGTTACTCTCTGAATAAGATACTCATCAGATTTTGAAGCTAAGCACCAGATCTCTTCTTGTACCTCATGAGAAATAGGCAAGACATTTAGAATAATTTTCTTCAAATTTAATGGTTCAGCATGAGCAACACAATTCACAACCAAATCAGCATGTGCACAGGGATTTAAGTTTAATGTTATAGTACACATATCATCAAGAGGTTTTCTGCAACTTTTTGCATAACATATTGCTGCACTTCTCTTAATTACTGTAATTTCTGAAGCATCTTGCAATGCTTCTATGCCCTCAATAATAGGAAGGTGCACAAAGCAACGAAGGTCATCACTGGAGTCTTGGAATTTGACAGAATAAATCTGTAAATTTGAGTTATTATTTATTTTTACAGCATCTGTAGCAGAACTTGTCTTAATCTTTTCTTTAACAACTTTGAAAATAAGCTTGCAAGCTTTATTTTTACATGACAGTCCTCTAGTGCCATTATAAGTGCCACATTTGGGGCATTTTCTTACACCTCGTAATGTAGGTTTTCCCAAATCTTCAAAGAGATTCTTTTGCTTTTCTGTCATATTCGCATTTTTGGACAAATCCTTCACATTTTACCTAAAAGAGAGAATTATCTACATAAATATACAAGTATGCAATTCAGATTTTACAAAAGCAAAAATTATACATAAATCTTTGCACTGAAAATAAAGACAAGATATAAACCATCACTTATTAAAATCACTTCTTTTCCAAACATATCTGAATTTATTAAGTGGCTGAGTTTAACAGATGGTAACTATAGTACTGCAAATTCTGATATCAGCTCTAAACTTAACAGGTAAGATAATGACCAACAATTAAAATTGTAATTACAAATTAATGAAAAAATTATACTACTTGCACAAATTTGAAATTTAAGACTTTATTTTAAAATTTATTATAATTACATACTATCTGTCAAAATTTTAAATTTTTATAGAGAACTCATCTATCCATGTTTGTTTTGTATTATTCATCAAAAGATTTCCAATTATATTCTCAAGTTTGCAAAACTGGTGGTAGATTTTCTATCTCCACTTTTCAATTCAAGAGTTCTAGATTCATTCAAAGTTGGCATAGTTTCACATTCTTCCATAACACTTTTAATTTTTGCAGCTTTTTCAACACTTTTTATAATACAATAATCAGTTTTTTCACATGTTGTCTCAGTATTTACATCAGGTGACTACACTGGTACAACTTTCATCACAGATGTCTGAAATGTTGGCTACAATTTGCAGCTCCTCCAAGGCTTCTTCTAAGCAATAACAACACTTTTAAAATAAATTGTTAACTGTGTTTTGAGAGTTTATGTAAAGCTCCTAGCAAAGATAATGACTAAATTACTTCCTTCGAAGCATTTTCACACGATTCAATTTAGATATCTTTTTTGAATGACATCGGAAAGCTTTAATAATACTCTGATCTGAAGTCTGAATGAAAAAAGTTATATTTCCAGGAAGAAGCCCTAAATCATAATTTTTTAAGAATATCAAATGAGCATGCAGCACAGTTATATAACAATAAAGCTATTTCTTTTTTTTTTTTTTTTTTCAGGTTATTGTTCAATTTTGAAAAATCAGTAAACTACAGCTTGCCACCTGTATTAGAAATTTCATGCAGTTTATACTCCTTCAGCACAGGTAAAATGCTTTCATTCCAGTTATAAGTAGAATCACAAACTGCCTTTATTTCCCCAAAATTTAATTTAATGCAGTTTCAATAAACGATGTTACTTTTCTCTTTTCATCATGTGAACTATCCATCAGTTGCTACAAAATTCCCTCCTGGCATTTTAAGGAAATTTTTTAGTCCCAAAGCTTAAAAAGATTTTTGAAAGCAGTTTTAATAACATTCAATTTCTAGTCTTTTTTTGAGCTTCTTTGAGACATCTACATTTTTAATTAGTTGCTCATCAATTCTAGTTCTTTGTTTAACTAAATTGTGCAATGACATTTATAAAACTCCCAATTTAAACACAAAGCCTCTCTTTGGCTGCACTTAAAAAAAGCATCATAATCTTTAAACAATTTATACATTTCTTTAAAACTTAAATATTTTTGCTTATGCATTTTCAACATGTTTCAAGCTACACACACAGAAAATAAATAAATAAATAAATAAATAAAAAAAAGGCTTCTTCCAGATATTTATTTAAATTCAAAATTCACAATTCTAGCCCAATAAGATTGTACTTTCCCTATTAGCTTGGTTCCCCACTTCATGGTTACTGGCTTAACCACTGCTTTCTCTACTTCTCCTTCAGCCTATTAGCAAATCAGAACTTAGAAGAGTGGGGGTAACTCATACAGCTTTTCCCCTTGAAACAGAAAGTGGGAAATGATGACGTTGTTATGTTGACACTGACTGTGGAGATGCAATTCACAACGCAGAAAATAGTGTTTTTAACTTGGAGAACCAGTATTAGAATTAACTATGTGTGAAAGATAACTAACTATAATTTTGTAGAGATGATGTTACTGCTGTGTGCATTGAATGTTTCAAAAGTTAATAATACTTACTCATTAATTTTAAAATAATAGATAAACAAGCATACTTTCAAGAAAACGGAACTTTTAACATAAAGTTCTGTTTTCTTGAAACCTGCAGTTTTTATTAATTTATTTAATTATTATAAATCTTTATTTTTATTTAATTATTATTATAATCACATTTATTTATAATCTTTTCTTTATCTGCGCACTACTCATATACAAACATATATGACTTTTTTTTTTCCCCCAGCTGCTAAAGAACTTATGTTTGATTGCCCTTGAAATCAATAGCTCTATTAAAAATTTCTCTTACTCTAAGGTTGATTTTTTTGCCTAATTATATATTTTACATTTGCATGTTACTCTTCTAATTCAATATAATAAGAGTTTTGCTATTTTAAAATTTTAAGTTTCTGATATAAAATTTTTTCTAGATGTCGCTCACCTTTTTTGTTGCTGAGCAAACATTCTAAAATGTTTCTTTTTTTTTCATTTTTCAGTGTTTCAATATAATTTTATAAGAGTTACTTTTCTTTCAAATTATCAATGCATTCTTGTTTACTTTTACAATTATGGCATTCAAGGATATTTTCACCATCATTTGTAATTCAATTTAAAAATCAGTCACATTTGATGTACTACTGACATTTTCATTTCCATACTTGGCCTCGAAACAAATTTTAATTAATTCATGTATTCTTTCAAAAATACCCTACATTATTTTTCTTTACTCTTGTGACTGAATTCTACTGTTACTTTTTCTACTGTGCATAGTAAATTTACTTTCAGCATAGCATTAGATTTTCACAGTATTTTTTGCAGAAATCTACGCAAGCGATTTTTCATGTCATTTTCATAGTCACTGCATAAAAAATGTTCGCTACAAAATTTGTGTTTTCTGATGTATCCATTCTTTTGTTAAAAAACAAATTTTCCTTAAGCGACAAAAAAGGCAAGCAATATTTAGAAATAAGCTTATATAAGGAATTCAAAAATTAAAATTTTAAAACATAAAACTTAAAAAACAAAGCTAGCAAAGCATTTTATATTATTTATAATCATACAAAATATGAAAATTTTGGAAATGAAAAATTTTTTTATGAAATAAGAGCAATATAAAAAAGTAAAATGCAAGAACAAAAGAAAACACAATAAAAGAAGTACGAGGAACACAAACTAGAATGGAAAACACAAAACAAGCTGAATATTTTTAAATAAGATGATTTAAAAATTTAATTAAGCAATTTTATGAGAAATATTTAAAAAAACTGCATCGAGCACAATCATCATATTAATTGAAATCAAACTTTTGAGCAATTAGATTTTTCTTTGTGTTCTGAAAACCTGTTTATATTTATAAAAATAATAATAACAACAATTAAAAAAATTATCATAAATCTAATAAACCATTTTTTTAAAACTTTTGTTCCTATTCTCAATCTAATTGCTACCCTTAAGTTTTTTGAGTGCAGTTATTTGTATTATGATTAGGTTGTACAACGTATACCATAAACAGGAATGTAAAGGAGTTCATGTAGCAAATCATTCCTTTAAAAAGGGCTGATGCAAGAAAAAGGTTCGGTATCCCTGGATTAGTATAAAGGATTTGATTTGTTTTCTGGAAACGGGAATATAATTATAGCCAATGAGTTTAATAAACAGTGGTAATGTAGAGTAAACATGTCATTAACACAAATGAATCAATTTTTCATTTAGCATCTTCAGTAACTGAATAATAATGTTGAAACAACTAATCTATAATTTGGAAATAAACAGAGAATATTTGAAGCATTAAATAATATATTTTTGCAAGTAAAATTATTTTCAATTCATATGCTTTAAAAACATAAACGTTATATTTTTTTTAATTCTTAAAACATATAATACAGTCAAAAGTCTTTAATCCAGACTCGTCGGGACTTCGGCGATTCCAGATTATCGGATTATTCATCAGCAGTTTAAGTCTGGTAAGATGGCATGCAGAAATTATAAAATTAAAAATAGGAAACCGTAATTTATGAAATACAGAGCAATTATGATCTAAAGGGTATCAAAATTTACAAAAAAAAAAAGCTTAATATTTATTTCTTTACTTTATTAAACATTTCTTTCAACACGCGCATGCGTAAAGCATACATTACGCATAGCCGAAATTGGAAAATTGCAACCAGAAAACTATTTGATTTCTATTCGTGATATTTATAATGACGAGGAATTTAATTTAAATCATATCAAAGATGGAGTACATCAAGATGAAATACTACATTTAATAAGGAATTATACGCTGAATTAAATAAAAACATCTGCCCTGAAGATAAAGATAGTGCTGACAGATCAACTTCCAGTTCATTGCGCGCCGCGATGCCCCCCCCCCCGCAGCAGCTCCAGAATCGGAAATTCTTTTTGACATAATCGAAAGTCCAAGCTTACTTTTATAAAATTGCTCTAACAGTCTGCAAAAAATAATAAGCCAGATCCAATTCGAAGATTAAGAAACAACGCAATCTGCAACATTAACTGAAATAGATAATTAGATAATTTTAGCTTAGCTTATACCATCCGTTATACATTAAATGCGCATGCGTAAACATATTATGCGCACGCGTAAATGCATATGCACATGCATAAATGCATGCGCAGAAAGTTTGTACCTTTGAGGTCCGGATTATAGATCATTCCGGATTATGGACATCCGGATTAAAGACTTTTGACTGTATGTAAGAAATTTAGAACTAATATTTCACAAAAACCAAAAATTGAAATTTGAAATTCATAATTAATAAATTTCAAATAATCTTATGCATGCAGCAAAGGATTTTTTAAATGTTACAGTCAAAACTTTTCAAACAAGCAAAACCCCATTTAAAAAAAAAACAATGAAATTTAAAGAAAAATGAACAAAAACAGAAGAGGAATTCAATTAACTTCCATGCTACTTTGTCAGGGAAAAGGAACATTGAAATTTCTCTTCTACAAAAATCCTTGCTTTTCTGTATCCAGAATTAGCCGATGAACCATTTCAATTTATTTTAATTTTAATTGTTTACCCTGGCCCTCCCCCAAAGCAAAGAAAAAAAACGAAGTAAATTTTAATTAGAAGAATTAGACTAACCTTAAATAAAGAGAATTATATTTTATTAAAAGAATTGAAAACAAAGTGAAAAAAAAAATACTTCAGTGAAACTTTTTAAAAATCAAAAAGCAAATTTTAAAAACAAAAAATGAATAAGATGCGAGTGAATTTATAAAATATAATTGGGAAAAACTTTATAGATTATGTTGGGGATTATCGTTTTGAAACTCTTTAAGGTAAACATTTTGATTTTAAAATTTTTCACTAAAGTATTTGTTTTTCACTTGCAATTTTCAATTCATTTAATGAAATGGAATTCTCTTTATTTAAGGTTATTCTAATTAGAATACAAAATTCTTTAGAATAAAATAATTAGAATTTACTTTGTTTTTTTCCCTGCTTTGGGGAAAAGCCAGAATTTTTGGGTGAACTATTATAATTAAAATACATTGAAATGGTTCATCAGCTAATTTTGCATGCAGAAAAGCAAAGAAGAGAGATTTCAACGTTCATTTCCCCTGACAAAGTAGCATTGAAGTTAATTGAATTCCTCTTCTGTTTTTGTTCATTTTTCTTTAAATTTCATTAGATTTTTTAATGGGGTTTTGCTTGTTTGAAAAGTTTTTGGTTTTAACATTTATTAAATTCTTTATTGCATTTATATGATTATTTGAAATTTATTAATTATGAATTTCAATTTTTGGTCTTTGTGAAATACTAGTTCTACATTTCTTACTTTATGTCTTTAATAATAATTTTTATGCTGCTTATTGGACAAAATGCTAGGCATGTTTATATTTTGTTTTCAAAAGTATTGTTTTGTAATTATTATGATATATATATGGGCTACATAATGTTTGGTTTATATTGAAATGAGAACATAGAGTGAAAATATGAATATATTGGATGCTGGTTTATTGCTTTATTAAAGTTAATTAAAGTAAGGGCAAGAACAGCACTAGGCTTTTTACCACCCACAGCAATCTTTGCAAGTCCTGTTGTCCAGTGCTTCCATTAATACTAAAAATTTTGCTGCTTCTAAATCCTACTGGCCAGTGCATGTTCTAAATTCTAAGAAATTTGCCATCATTAAATTTTGTTGCTCAATGCTTCAATTAATTCTAAAATTTTTTGCCGCTCCTAAATTCTGCCACTCGATGCAGTCACATCTGTTGCACCACCTGCCTAAAAAGGAATATTTTCTTTGCAGAGATTTCTAAAGCACACTGATTCACATATATATTACACATGGTAAAAAAAAAAAATTTTAAATATTCACACGGCAAGCCTGTTTTATTATCTAAAATCAAATTCAAAAATAACCATCACAGCTCCCCATCTCTAATTACTGTTGTACCATAAATTTATTGGAGAAATAAGGAACAAAATATGGAAACTGAGTAAACAAATGGGTACTTACATATGGATAAGCATCCCGTACCAATACACTCAGAATATTTGTACTGTATCTGATGCAATCCCAATTCATTTTCAATAAGCCATAGTTTGTTTTTATGAATAAGAATATAAGTTAACTGTTGTTGCTTTTCCCTGCATTTCAGAGGGGTTGAGTAAAATTTAGGATTTGCGAAAACAAATAGCAAGTATTCTTTCAAAGTTATGGGATACTATCATAAAAAAAAGAGTGTGCATTAATAGATGTATTAATTTAATGTGATACCAGAGGGTTTGTTAAGTTTTTTTTTTTTTTTTTTTAACACTCTTGGTGAGTTTGGAGTCGACCAGTCTGCTCTTAGACTCATTCCTGTTCACATACTTTTTTTTTTTTTCTTCCTTTTTTAGCTTTATTATTGCTTTTTCTTTTTCTTTGCATTTATGCAGCGTACAATTAAAAATTTAAATTTCACAGTTTTTAAAAGCAGCATATGATTAAAATTCTCACACAAGGTTAAGTGTTAGCATATACTTTTCCATTTGTTTCAGTTTTTTCTCAGTTCATGATATCAATGTAAAATTTTTTTAAATAATTTAGAAAACTTTTTCTTTTGACTTTTTTCTTAGATAGTTTAGAAAACTTTTTCTTTTGTCTTTTCATAATTAACTTTTTGCATGTATAACTAAATTTATTACATATCACATTCTTTGCACATATGCCACATAAAATACAATAGCATAATCACAAAATATTTAAAAACTGCATAGAAAGTTATAAAGTGTTGCTATACACTTTTTCGCTACATTATTTCTTTAAAAAACCACTGTTTGCACTGCTGTCTAAAATACTTCTCATAAAAAGATAAAGCATATTATGATTTCAATGAGACCAGCTAGAGTAATTTCATAAAAATATTTAATATTTGTTATTAGAAGTGAATTTGATGCATTTTTATTTAAATCAATCATATCAGAAAGTTAGAAAATATATTCTTAACAAGTTATTGTTTTTAAAATCACTTAGTTTGTTACACAGCCCAGATTAAATTTGAAATTTAAATATTACTAAAAGGCTTTACTGAAAGACAAGCATGCTGGTGTGTGGAAGATAAAACATATTTTATTTCTGGCAATGGCAAAACACTGCTTTTAAATTGCGGAATTTGTAATAATATATAATTAATTTTCCAAACAACAGTCTCCTGCACTTAGGATGAAAATGTTTTGTTTTATTCAGAACAGTGTTGCCACTGCTTGCTTTTAAACCGCTAAGTTTGTTAATCAAAAATTCGGTTAGAGTATATTTAATAGCACCGAGTTTTGCAAAAATCGCAGCTACACAAAGCCAAAATAACAAGTCAAAGAATTGCACAATGTCCATTCCATATACCGCCAAAAATCGAAAAGGGGCACCCGTAAATATATTTTTACCAAAAATTCATTAAATTTGTGCAAAATATGAAATAAATGAAAAACAAATTCAAAATTCGGGTTTCCAGGTGCACACGTTGGTGTGAAGGACTATGTGTTTTCAAAATCTGATGGTTGTAGGTGCCGTGTTTTTGAACAATGCAAGGAATACAGGTACACACATAAAGATTCTTGGCTAATCTTTGGAATATGGTAACAGGCAGTTTGGCGACATTCTGGTAGGCGATAAAGGTTACTACCTAGGACTTTGGCAATAATGTGAGAAGTACCCAGATACAATTACAGATTATTTTGTCTGAGAGAAACGAGAGATCATGAGATATGTCATGCAACATTAATGGACGAATGATAGCTCTTTAATCGGAAAAAGGGGGAAATTTGGAAAAAATATCTGCTACTTATAGCATTTTGTATTTAGCTTCATTCTGTGTTGTGTGAAACAGTGTTGCTTAATTTTTGGATCCCATGGCCCTATCTAAAGTGAATTCAAAACTTTTATTGCGTTTATCTGATGATCCAAAAGAATTACTTGAATGGTGTATGAGTGTAGGATTAATTGCGGATAAGTATGAATGTCCAACATGTAAGAATGAAATGAGATTGTGTGAAAGGAAGGATATTACAGATAAGTTTGAATGGCGGTGCAAGAAATCTGGTGAAAATGGACATTTTGTGATCCGCCATGCACTCAAGATTCTGTAGAAGATTAGGTAAGTTAGTATTTTTTAATCATTTGAGGACATTATTTTATGCATTGTTCTAAATATAGGAATAAATAAATTAATATGCTATTACTGGAAATTTTTATTAGCAATGAATTAGTTTAAAGTAATTAAGATTTTTAGTTAATTTTTATTATTTAATGTATGTGTTTATTTATATTAAGTAGTGTTTTTTAATTTAATTATATTTTAATTAAATGATAGTTATTTTGTGAATTATATGTTTGTAGCATTTTGGAATACATTTCAGTAGAAGTAAACGTGCAGGAAATAATTAAATATTTGCCACTAAGTATTTGCAACCATTTTTAATGTTTACGTTATAAATTCACAGGTGAGTTTATAATAGATAATTTAGAGGGTAAAGTTTTCGGATATTTTATTTATTTTATACGTGCAAATGTTCATCCTTGGAAAGGGTATATACTTTTTCGCAATCAGGTAATTTCATATATGTCCTTTTTACCGACTTTAAAGATTCACAAAATTTTCCTGCAAAGTTTTCTAATTTATGAGAAAAAAGCAGTGTACATGGATAAAGTCAAGAGTGTGCGCAATGCCATTTTTGTGCAATTCTGGGATGTTTTTTTAAATAAAAATAGGTCGACGTGTACATGGTTACCGTGTATGTGCCATTCTGAAAATCGCGGCAAGGAGTTTGCGATTCTGCACTTTCTCCCAATTTTGCAGTTAATATTCGTCATGATTAAGCACTTTTGTTCCATAAAATTTCTAGAATAAATTACAGATTTGTTCCATAAAATTACAGATTCTAGCTTAAGAGTAATTCGGCTAGTAGATTGCTGGAAAAAATGTTGAGTAAATAAAAAAAAAAAAGAAACCTGTCTTTACTTCGTGAAGACAAAATGGCACCGAAAAAAAAAGTAGAAGGTTGCTGTAGCAGGGTTGGTTGCCAAATTTTCACAAAATTTGCCAAGTTACCATAATGCAAAGATTAACCAGATTCTTCACTATTTCATTTCTTTAAAAATAATACATGATGATAACATTTGGTGGCAACAATTTGAAAAATGGTTTGGACACAAGTGATGCAGACAAAAAGGGAGTTTTGAGACTACTAGCCCCTCTAGTGTTAAAAAAATACAACAAATACCTTTTCACACTGCCTGATGTATAAAGTTACTCAATTCCTAGTTAAAAATTTTGCCAACTTTAATTTGCTACTGCACTTTTATTACTGAATATGTATACTCCAGAAATGACCTTAATAAATTAACTTTTAAGTTTAATTTAAGTTCCAAGTTTAGTTTAACAACTATTCTTCCTTCTCCCCTAATGTTTTTATCTATAACTGGTATTAGTGTGCTCTTACATTCATCTATAAACAATGTAGAAGCAAACTGAGAATTTTCAAAAAAAAAAAAAAACAATATAATACATCTCCTAGTTTTCAGAAATATAATATTAACTTTTATTTAGCTTTAATACAGATTATTAATAAGTTACACGCATTCTAAAATATATTACCAAATACAGACAACAATCTTTTCATATGCAGTTTATCACCTAAAATTATAATCATTGCACTGAATTCTGCAAAATAAAAAACTTAGATTCTTACACATACATACATATATTACATGAGTGTAAAGCAATTTAATTTTATAAAGTTGTATGTTTTAGCAACTGATTATAAAGGAAAAAATCTTCATCTCTTTCACTGGCTTATTGGATTTTTTTTTTTATTCAACAACTACTAAAAATAAAGTGTCAAAAGAACAAATTCTTATAGTAATTACATTTTCATGTATACATACACCATTTACTAAGAAAAAAAAATTATGCTACTGCAAAAGTCATCAATTTAGATTACTTACATTCATCTAACCAATATAAGAACTTCAACATTCGACATTTCAAGTGATTAACTTCTTCGCTTCTACTTCAAGTTTGCTACTTCTAGATTAAAATATATCTTATAACATAGTACGTTAATTTACTTTAATTAAAGCAATCCGATTTATTCTCTGCTGCGAGATATTCATTCAGGATATGTATTACAAGGAGAGTAAAAACTGATTTATTCTCTGATGGTATATACCCATTTCAAGAAATTTATTAAAAAAGAATAATATCAGTTTTGAGATTATTGAAAGGATCGCAGTAGAAACATACAAATGTTGATAACATCAGAATAAAATTTCGACGAATTATAACCTATTGTAAACATTTCCAATCTCAATACATTACAAACACACACTGTCAAACTAACAAACTATAATTAAAATTCATATACAAATCTGAAAAAGACTATAAGCACCAAAACCAGATTTCAGACTTTTCTTTTCATGAAAACGAAACTTCATCACAATTCATTGTTTACATGTGAAATGGTTCAAAAACATAGCAACCGTCAACAAATACATACGAAAATTTGCCCGCTCTTAATGTTGCCAAAACGTAACTACTTAAATGTGAGTAAATTAAATTTTCTATCCTATTGCTTATTATAAAGAACAGTGGCGAAGTGCATCCCCACCAGGTGAATTCCCTTATTGTCCATTCTGAATTCCACATATACTCTTTCTTCATTTACAAGTTTTTTTTAATATGCATGTGTATCAAGCGTGATAAATGTGATACTCTTCAATGCATTTTTAGTTTTTGTTTGAATCATAATTACCATATCTAATAGTATTACCATATCTGTGGGTAATAAATAACATCCATGCATTTACAAGTCCAATCCAATAATTACAACTTTCATTGCTTTCGTTCTGCATATGAGTATATTTATACCATTTATTAGTTATCGTAAGCTGCCCAGAACTGAGCGCTTCGGCAAAGAGCTGAAAAGGGTGCATTAGCTAAAGGATACATTATTATCATCCGGCAAAAGCTTTTCATAAACGCCAGGAAATGCTTAGTGATCCTGCAATTAGGATATATTATTAGAACTATAACTAATCCTGCAATTAGGACCAATTGCTTGAATAAAATGCAAATTCTTTTTTTTATAAATCCTATTACTGATTTTTAAAGGTATTACGTATATTCATTAAATTCGTGACACTATCTAATTAGCAATTTATTTTCCTGTTTCTTCTCGCATTAATTACGTATGGAGCTTAGGCCTTGACTATTTATTTCATCTCAAACGACTTTTATAACTAAGTTACTTTTCAAAGATCTATTTCGAAATTTTAAGGTGTTTTCGACGTAAGTTAGGGCTTAATAGCCTGAGCACCTTAATGTATAACATTGTTAGAAACATTATTAGGCATGGTCATTAGCTATTACATTTGTACCGTTTATTAGCTATAGTGTATCAGCCCATATTATTCTGTTTTATATGCTAGTCTAGAATTCCAACGTAATTTCAAATAAGGAGAATGTTTTTTTTTTTTTTTTTTTTTTTTTTTTTATCACAATGACTACAATTCACTTTTTCATAATTAAAATATTAAATTTCAAGAAACATTATTTCTATAAATCAGAGATCTCAATGGATGCGAATTACTCATTTCAACTATGAAATATTTATTTTCTAAAGAATTCAAATTTTTCAATCACTTCTACACAATGATTTGCAAAAATTTATCTTCAACTGCAGATATCTTAATGACATAATATCATTTACACTTACATTTCATAATAATATTTTATTTTGAATCATATCATTAACAAACCTGAATCATTAACAAAGGGACCTCGTTTCAATAGGATTTCTCCTCTGGTGTGAAGGAGGTACCATTGCATTCGGAAATCAAACCAGATAAAGAACATCTATGCGATCTTGTCAAAAAATGACATTATTACTAACAGAGATTACTTCACCACGATAAACAAGGTATGGTAAAAGTGCTGTCTATTCAAGGTAAAAGACTGGCAATTAGTTTTGTCTAGGTTTCAAATAATGTTATTATTCCTGGACCAAAGATTCAATAGCCCCAAAATATCACTGAAATTAGCATCCAGGCTTTGCTGTCGGGTCTTTGGAGCACAGATACAGAAGACTAGATCGTCAACGAATAATTTAGTCTTGACTATAAGGTCAGACATCAGAATATCAGCCAAATCGCTTATATCAGCGGTTCTCAACCTTTTGACTAACGCATACCATATAAACAAAAATTGAATAACTGTAGTACCACCACTAGATTTAACAAAGATTATTTTTCAGTTTCTCAACTGAAATATTAAAAACAAAACTGCCATTTGCACAACCTATTGGCTATTTATATTGAATATGCCGACCTGAAAAATATTAGATTGGAAATTGATTACGATTTTAATTATCAAAATTTAAGTTATAATACTTTAATTATAAAATTTAGTGCGAAATTTGGCCTTTTTTAAGACAGATCAGTTTCCTTATGTGTGGGCCCACCAGCGGTCGAGCGGTAAAGACGCTGAACACTGGTAGTTCGGTCTGAGGTTCGAATCCCGCGAACGGGCTGGTTGCATGGGCGCTTTCGTGGTTTTCCCCATGTGTAACGTGTATACGAGCCAGTTTCCCTTAGAAAGTCCTCCACGAAGGCATTCCTCCCTTTAGGCAGATAGCCCCCGTGTGCTTTGCCGTAATTGAATAATCCGTCCATCCTTATGTGTGGTCTTATTTCACTTAGTTTTTAACCCTTAGTGTCTGCTTTTAATTTTGTTCTGTACTTATTTTTCAAATATAACATGGACGAAAAATCCTAGTTCACACAAATCGGTCTTGCAAAAAGGCCATAAAAATTTAATAGCTATATTTGAAATGTCTTTAGTATCTTTTTTTGGGTTCAGCCAAAAGTTAACATTTTTGAAATCTTCAGTTAGTATTCGATCACAGGAAATTTCTGTCAATTGTTTATTTTCCTCGGAAGATAAAATTTCAAATACTTTTGAACAAAATGGATTTCTAATCCAATATTCTTTTTCATAATCCTTTGGAAAATACATGTTGAAATTATTTATCAATGAAAAACAATGATTTTTAATGTCGGATGCTAATTTTCCTTTTATTTTCAAATTATTTTCAATTAGAAACCTTTCTAAAAGACATAAGAAGCTTTAAATTTTATAATCCAATTCTTTGATTATTAGCTCGAGTTTTTTTATCATTGCATTTATTTTCTCTCTAATGGTAAACAAATTAACACTTTGTCTTTATAATCCTAAATTTAATTCCTTTAAGTAAGTTTACAAAAATATCAGCTAAATATGATAAACTCGCTAACCATAATCCACTATAAACGTTTTTTTTTTTTTTTTTTTAGTTTAAATTTTATATCACAGAGGAAATTTTGAATTTCTGATCGCAGTTCAAAAAGACGATTTAAAAGTATGCCATTCGATAATCATCTTACTTCAAAATATAACAAAAGCATTTCATGTTCACCTTGACATGAAATCGTTAATATTCTTGAATTTAAAGCTCGGCTTTTAATAAAATCAGCAGGTTTAATAAAATTAACAATTTTTTAATTCAAAGTGATTTTCAGGATTTCGAAGATTGTTTTGGGTACTAAAACTTCACAATGAATGGAGCAGTGAATAAATTTAGTTTCAGTTGTGACCTTCTTTTTTTCAGAAATAACACTGGAATGTTTTCCTGTTAAAACCCGAGCTCCGTCACTGCATACGGCAAAGCACTTATTCCAAGGAATATTATTCTCAGTCATAAAATTGTCAATTATTTTGAAAATTTCACTTGCAGTTGCTCTATCATGATGAGATTCACAAAATAGAAACTCTTCGACAATTCGTTTACCTTCTTCGAAACATATGTAAACTAATTTTGCGTGCGTACGGGTTCGCTATGAATTGAATGCACAAATCCGATGAAAAATGAATAAAATTTATTATTATCATAACAAATAAAACAAAATGCTTAAATTCCCAGGGATATTCGTACAATATCCATATATCTCACAGTAGTTATCTTATTTAAACTACTAAAAACGTTCAGCAGAACTAATTCAAAATAGAGAAACGTACAGTAAGCTAATCCAATTTCAGTGCGAATTCGCTACAGTAAACAACAGCAGTTTTCTAAACAATATTGAGCTGAGCCAATGCCAATGATTAAAAGTTACGGAGTGCCTATGGTTCAAAATTACGTACCTCCTCATCAGAATTAAATAAAAGCGAGCAGAAATAGGAAAATTGCATTAGTATTTAACTTGATGCTCACTAGAGGGAGCCACATGGCTCGAGAAAGGTTAGGGATAGCAAGAATTTATAAAACTTAATAATACATAATTTTTTTAAGGTTTTTAGATTTTTAATCATTTTTTGTTTGTTTTTTAATTGAAAATTTTTTTTGGTATTTTATATTTTTTATACACAATACAACACTAAAGCAAATAGCGGAGAGGAAAGATTTTACAATTAATAGGCTCATTGGCATGTGGCATAAAATGGAAGTGCAAATAATAAAGTATCGCGAGAAAATATTCAAGGCAGAATTAGTTTCTGCGGGAGATGTGATTCTATAGTGAACAGAATGATAACCTTGCAAAATGACCACTTCTCAGGTGGCAGGAAAAGATGTTGGCATATCTTTATTTATTTATTTATTTCTTATACACAGCAGGTATGCAACTACATTGAGTTTTGACCTGTTCAATCTGTGCAGCCTATGAAGGCCATTAACGGTTTTTAGTACATTAAGGTGCTACTGCACCTCGCCCGGGGGCGTGACATTAGAATAAGATGTAATCATTCCGTGGCGAAGTCAAGCTGAATATTCGAAAATTGGGAAATTAGTACTTAGAAAACAAAATCGTCCAGCATTCAAGTCCATGCATGATGCATTCGGTCAGGATAGTAGCGTTAGGTTACTGAGATAGGGTGCGCAGTCCAGCAGGTAATCAGGAGTAGAACCACAGCAGTGGGCGTGGTGAGAGCACACAATGTACAGTCCTTAACACATATTAATTAATTCAGAGTCTCTAGCCTGCTTCCAAGCAAATAGCCAATTTTGGCAGTAACACAGTACTTGGTTAAATTACGTTAGATAGAACACAAAACACAACTTCATATGTACACTATTTACATATTTACATCACCACCGCGCATTATGGTGAATTGACCGAGGTATCTTCACCACGCTGTCCACCGTAGGGTCATAATTACCGAGTTCTCTTAGCGTGTGCCACTGGAGAATTATCCATTTTTTCGAAGAGCTAGAAGCTGTGCGCCTCCATGAGGATTTGTTCAGGAATGGGCTTTATTTTCAAGTCTGCATGAATGATGCTATTTCGTACAAACCAGGGCGCGTTAGTGATGGCTCTTAAAATTTTGTTTTGAAGGACTTCTAGTTTTCTCCTATCCGTCTTATTGGCAATTGCCCACGCTGGGGCGGCGTAGAGCATAACTGGCCTAATCATAGTGAGATAGATCATGCGTTTAGCTTTTAAACTCAATTTCGATTTC